CAAAAGAGAAAGGCAAACTTTGCATTAGGTAGACAGAGAGCCAACAATGCCAATCCTGTGCACAATGACTGTTAAAACATGACCCTATTTAACCCCCAGCCATCTGAGCAGTGAAGCTGAGGGTAGAAAAACTACTTGGTTTGAATGTAAAACGATGTTTAAATGTGGATGCAGGTGCAAATGCTGTCAATAAGTTATTAATACAACCAGCGGTCAAGTCCTGGGTAAAAAAAGTGTGGGAACTCACCCAAGATCCCCCCCCACGGCCACCAAGCAAAAAAAAAAAATTATACACTTGTATGCATATATAAACGCGTGCACACACTCACAGACACATACACTCACAGAAACACAGAAATCATTTATTTTTTTTAAATTTGCAAATATCCACCCAGCCTCCCTGACGTCATATTCCGGCTCCTGGCATCAACAAATGGCGTGCGAAGGAGCAAAGCAGAGCGAACACAGCTCCCTCGCAGTGTCTGACAGGTAGACAGCCACCCGCCGGGAGCGTCCATCAGGTGGCCAGCAGGTCACCTCTTGGCCGCCCCCCCATGACAGGGAGAACACAGGGGCACTTGGGGAATTTTTTGCCGCCCCCTGGTTAGTGCCTGCAGGATCAACGGGAACAGCGTTCCTGCTGTGAAAAAAGTGCAGAAACGCCGTTCCCATGCGTTCTTGCAGGAATCGAGCCCTGAATAAGAATCACTGGGTGATGGAGTAACTGCTCCCCCTAGAATCGATTATTCCTTGACCCCCGCCTAGGCCACCAGTGCTCAGTGCACACCTGCCACTGTACTCTGCTCGCACTTGGGAACCTGTCTACCCATATGACAGATGCCAACTCTGCCCCACTGTGTCCATTTGGGGGGAAGAACATTGTATGGGGGATCAATATGGGGTGTAACCGAAAAGGGGGGATGAGAACACACACTATACTAGGTAAATCCACTGTATTAATGGTATACTTCAAGCACCATATCCACTTGAAAGATTTTATATGATTCTATATGTGCAGTTTCGCCATGAAACTCTTCACATATGGAGATTAACCTCTCTGTTGCTGCAGTGTCACTGGGGTGTCATTAGCCAGCTCAGAACAAGTATTCTGTAAGGCAAATGTGAATTCTGTGCAAAATTGGAGTCAGGGGTGTGTTTGTATGTAAAGTTTGCATTTGAGTGTATTGGTGTGTTTGGGTGTAGTGTATCTATGTGTGTATTGTGTTGCTAATTGGGCTGTTTTGTGTGTGACAAGTTATACATGGATACACACATAGATAGACACACACATTCATATACGCACTAACACATACAAAAACAGACACACAGATACACACTGGCACACAGATACACACTGACACATATACACACTGGCATACATACATACACTCTGATACACACACTGGCACACATACACAAACTCAGATACATGCACACCTTGACACACAGATACAGTCACTAACACAAAGATACACATTCAGATACACACTCAGATACACACAGTGGCACACAAATACACACACTGGAACACATACACACACCTTGACACAGATGCACACTGACACAAAGAGACACACTCAGATACACACAGTGACACACAGATATATATACTGACACACACAAACACACACAGATACACTGACACATATACACAGTGACCCACAGATACACACGCACACACACTGATATTAACATTTATACACACGCACTCTAACCAGGCCCCTGTTGAGCGACACACATCACGCTGTGCTGGGCTTCCTGAGCGCTCTGGGCCCCAGACTCTGCAAGGCAGGAACAGTTTGGCAACAACTCAGTGACGGAACTCCCGGTGATGGCACTAGTTCCTCCACTGTTTGTCAGTGCTTGTAGCTGTATGAGTGTCATTCTGTGCTTTGTGTGTCATTCTGTGTGTCTGTGTATCTGCATGTGTGTCAGTGTGCATATCTGTGTGTGTGTCTGTATGTTTGTAAGTATGTGTGTCTATGCATTTACATGGGTGTCAGTGTGTGTATCTGTGTTAACGTGCATTTGTGTATCTGCACGTGTGTCTGTGTATCTGTTTTTGTGTCTGTGTTTGGATCTGTATGAATGTCATTATATGTATTTGTGTGTGTGTTTTGTATCTGTATGAATGTCATTATGTGTATTTGTGTGTCTGTATCTCCATTGTCATTATGCGTGTATCTGTATATATCAGTGTGCCTGTGTTTATTTGTATGTGTGTTAGTGTGTGTCTTTGTAACTGCATGCGTGTCAGTGTGTATCTGTGTGTTTGTTTATCTGAAAGTTTGTCAGTGTATCTTTGTGTGTACCTGTGTGTCTGTGTATCTGCATCTCTGTACCTGTGTAATTATGTATGTATATGTATGTGTGTAAGTGTGTCATTGTGTGTATCTGTGTATCTGCATGTGTGCTAAATACAACCTTGCAAGGAAGGGCAAATGTTGCATGCCAAGCTGGCAAAGCATTGTGGGAGTTGATCGACAGATTGTGGTCTGCCTTTTTGACATCCTGGTGATAGAGAGAGGGGGGCCAAAATAATTCTTGCACCAGGGCCCTCTTTATTTTAGTTCTGCCACTGGACACCGCTCACATCTCAGAATGCCCCCATTTCCCTCTAATTAGAAATGATTACTGCCCCCCTTAATTTTGACTGTGGTATGTGACTCACCTATATATTGTTTTAAGACTCCCAACTGGTGGGGTCTAATATATCAGTGATAGCAGTGATTTATACAAAGTTAAAAGATGACTCACAAGGTGGCGAAAATACTCAAATCAGTCATTCTACATTGGCTTTAAATTATGAAAATCAATTTTCAATGCCCCACAACTCAGTCTTAAGTGGACCCCGTTAAACATGTTAGAGTGCATAAACGTAGTTACTTTCACCACAATATTTTATAACAAGTATGAAACATGATTTGAACTTTTATTATCGCAAACAATCAATAATACAAAACTTGTTTTATTTTTGTTTGTTTTGTACTAAAGCAGTTAAATGAAATGACTTCAGCCCATCCATAGTGACAGTTTTGCTAATGTTGTCATTTAGGTTTCATTCCGAAACATTGTTATGGACTGGGAATGAGAATGGAAATTCTTTGGAGGTCACAGTCTAAAATGCATCCTTCTGATGTATTCACTAAAGCAGAATCTGTGGGCATTGTGTAGATTATTGCGTATGTTCGCTCAAAATAGCAGAATTAAAAACTAGAACAAAAATCAAAATCCAGCGATTCACCAAGGTTGCCTTTTCTCTCCTACAATTTTAATTTGAATTCTTAATATTCCACAATTCCTGGTGTAACCAATAATCATGCATCTCTTGCCTGCTCTCTGCTCTCCTAAACTGACTTGATGCTTATTCTAATTTACTTTTAACCCAATTAAAAAAAACAAAGTCTCTAAGTCTTAAACAGACATTTCATCCTGGGATGGTATATGTTCTTAAAGGATTGTTTTAACATGCTAGAATAATAATAATAATAATAAAATAAAAAAATCTAATTAAAATATGAACCTGTATGTGATGGGGTAAGCAATGGGTTAATCTATTAGAATGTTTTAAAATTAATAAAAAAAAAACTAGAGGAGGAAGGGATGGATGACTACCCACACTGAGGTATTTCTGGTGGGAGGAAAGGTTAAGATTTAACAATGAAGGGGGAGAGCAGGCTATCTCTGAAAAAAGGGACTTCCCAGCAATGACATGTACGTCCTAATGGGAGGACCCCGGAGAGCAGGCAGTATTAATACTTATAGCAGGATCACGACACAAGGAGATCAGAGGAGAGACTGTGAGCAGCCCCTCAGCCTGACATTAATCCGGATCAGACACCATGCATCAGACCCTCTGTCTCCTGGTTCTCCTGCCCCTGGCTGCACAAGCTTTGCCCTTTGCATTGTCTGCAGATCTGTGGAAAACCCGTGATATCCCAACTAATCACAGGGAAGCCAGACACCCAGCCTTGTTAGCTGTGCAATACCTCAACTACCAGACTGGCTCACCCAACTACCTGAGGACCCTCTACCAGGTCACCAAGGCCAGTGTTAAGGTAAGTAACAGGACTGGGGTGAGTGGGTAGTCTCCCAATGTGAGGGCATTGCTGCATTCTATCCTCTTAGCTGCATTCAGATCAATAGCTCTGCAACATAGTATCCTCCACTCTATTCACAAATGGTTCAAATATTACCAGATTATTACAAACACACACAGGCAATTTTATTCTGTCTGAGTCTTTCTATCACTTTTAAATGCAAACTGTTAAAAATGTAAAATCATTTCAGAAATCCTCTGCTTTCTGATTAGATTATCTTCCCAGAAGTAACCCTTCTCATTTATGGCGATTTCTGCATAGATTAGCATTTCTAATGTCCCTGGATATCTTCTAAGACAATGACGAGAGTATTACCCTGAAATAAAACGCAAGATATCTGCACAACTAGCCGGTTGCTATAGCAGTCATTGCATAGCTGCCTGGTTGCTATAGCAATCTATCTATTGATTTTTCTTTTAGATTCACAGGCAGTATTTGGTTTGCATCGACTGTTTAACCAGATTGTGTTCTTTTATGCATCTGTTTGCAAAAATAAAGAATATTCTTCTACTAAGAAAACATTCTCCTTTCAGAAAATATATTACTTTAAACTTCTTAAATCCAACACCCACAGGACATGTGAAATCCCCCTGATGTGCAATGTGTTCAATCAGCATAGTAGTCGACTCTATGTATTCTTATGTAATTTCATTTAGAATGTAAGATGGGATAAAGTAAGATCAGGCAATTGGGGTTATTCACTGTAGTGTGATCTGCCAGTATTGTCCCAAGGAATTGTGTATATGTATACATTAGACCAAACTAGTTGTGCTGAATGTATAGCTATCTTGGGGAATAGCTCCAGTTTGACTGTTTTGGCCTTAACCCAAACAATGTGGTAGATGGTGATAGTGTTATTTGTATTAGTGTCACTTGAGTCACTAAACAGTGAATTGTAGTGAATTGAAAACTAAATTGCAAAATTCAGACTAAGTCAAAATATGGCCATCTATCTAACCCCTTAAGGACACATGACATGTGCGACATGTCATGATTCCCTTTTATTCCAGAAGTTTGGTCCTTAAGGGGTTAAACATAAACTGTGCTTTATGGTTTTCAATAAACTACAATTCACTGTTTAGTAAATAACCCCTTTGGACTCTCACTGTACACATGCACAGTTATTCAATACAGTCTGAATACTCTGCGGATTAGGAAAATTTGGTTAAAAAAAAATAAATCCCCAGATCTGGAAATCTGTTTATTTTATTTTTTTCTCCAAAGGCTCTGAACAATTCTGTGTCTGCAAAAAAATAAATATTAAAAAAACAGACACTAACTAGGCTATATTATAGGATTCTTATATTTATCAAACACCAAAACGTACAGAATTCGCTCTGACCTATTTTATCTGGAGACACTTTAACAAAAGTAAATTCATCTCCTCTTTGCATTCAGAGCTACAGAAATATACAAAAACTGGCCGCTGAAGGAGCCAGCAGACATATAATTAAAAAAACAAACTGGCTACATGGTCCCTCTTATGGCCTCTCGCCATAAATGGTATTGTGAGCGTTAATGGAGGGGGTGGGCAACCACTTAATTATAAAACCTAATTTTATCTTATTTATTATGGGACATAAGTTTTCAAAGAGTTGGGCTGATTAAGAGAAACAAGAACATGAGTAGGGAGAGATGTAAGGGAGATAGTGTTATGGAGAGATTTGCAACTTGTGGTCATTATTCTTGATTGGATGAGGAATCAGTGGGTCTGCAGAAGTGAAAGGATGAACCACTCCAAACTAGAAATGTTGTTTATTGTGGAGTTCATTCAACCTTTCTTGTCAAGATAGGGAACAAGATGAAGTGGAATATTTTTGTGTTAATATGAGTGGGAAATTGGTGTGTATGACCTATATTTTTGAGGAGGAGGAGGCAACAGGTTAAAGGTTAAACGAGAAACCAGAGTAAACATAAATAAATAAATAAATACCACTGGGGACATATGTGGTTTGTTGGGAATATTTTATGTAGTCAGTAGTCAGACAGAGTTTCAGTAAACCTGAGGAAATGGAACAAGGGGATCATTTTTGCTCAGTTTCAGATAGCGCTGGGACATCGCTAGAGATGGCAGAGAGTCAGATGCTAAAGAAAGATATAAGAATGAGTGATAGGTAGGAGGATGTATCTGTGGGTATGAGATATTTTCCAGGTTAGAATGTTGCCAGCAATGAGTATTGTTACACTTACACTAATGTTTATTTGAAGCTTAGCATACTAAGCTGACTGTAATTTGTATTGTGTAAGTTAATGGTTAGTGCCTTTTATAGGTGTTGAAGCCCTGAGGTCAAGATGCCATTGTGTCATAATTCGACGCATAACCACATGCTTGTTAGCAAACGTGAACAAAGGCCTGGGTGTTAGTATAAATAGATAACTGAAACATTAACTGCTCGAATATAAATCATTTTTGTATTGTTCGATTTATGATTAATCCTGTGCCTAGCATTTTAGTGTAGGCAATTGTTCTCTGAATGGCCCAGGTTTAAGGCAACACTGAACAGGTACAAACAGGGTTAGTCTCCATTACAAACCTTCCACTCACTCAGAAGAATTGATCAGGAGTAAGAAGGGTAACTTTGCCAAGGTGCCCTGTTCTTCATATAATTATTTTAACCCCTTGGTCACAGACCATAGGTCTCCACGTCTCCAAGGGATCATCATTGAGGAGGGGGCAAGGTGGCCATCCTCCAGCCCTTATCTCATTTAAAGAACAGTGAACCTATTTAGTGTATTATTCAATGATGAAGGTGATTATCTTAATGTCATTCACAGGACTGGTAAGTATCACAAAATCACAACAAATAGGTACTTTTTGAGAAAATGTTCTACACTATGGGCATATACCTTTGTTTTAATGTTATTCATACAAAATACTTTAGAGTTTTTTGTTTACATATAATGAGGATTTTTTTACATGTGCATCACTGGCCACCCTTTAAATACAATATAAAATATGTGTAGGTACACTAAATAAGGAAGGGGAAATATTATGAGTTAAAAGACACACAGCAAAATGGCCAACATTGCTTGGATGCTAGGGTGAAAATGGCCATTGTCGCAAAGGGGTTAATCTACAATCTGTCCCCGTCTCCTGGTGTTCAGTAATACATATAAAGAAGACACAACTACCTCCATGTTGTTCCAGTATAAAGGTCACATTGGCTGCTGCTTTGTTTGACAGGATTGCCTCCAAATGTTGAATTGTATACTGTAACCCTGAACTACAAGCTTGGCAATTATCACAATGTCATGACTTAACAGGCCCTTCCATTCCCACTGACTGATGTCAGCAACACATTCTAGACACAGAACTGATAAGGGCAAAGGAAGGACTCAAAGTTGATTTACTGCAAATCCCCCAGGCCTACAGAAATACAGAATGGGAGAGACACGAAAAACTCAGCTATCTGAAAAATCTGCAGATACTGGCAAAATGTATTGGGCTCTCTCTTCAATCTTTTTTAATGAGTCATGTTACCAAAATGATTGCAGGTTGCTATAACGTTTCGTCTCCCTCCCCAGTTCCCATAAACAATCTCTGTGCTTGATTGACTTTAACTCCGTGTCCGTGTCTTGCAGAGTGTTTGTGTTCTAAAATAAATGCGTCACAGGAGTTTCTCAGCTTGTGTATTTATTGCATTAACCTCCAAAGTGTTGGCATGCAGTGCATCAAGGGATGGGGAAAAAAAGGCGAAAAAATATTGTACTTCATATCATAATTTCAGTTTCACGGTTCTATCCAGTACATTCCTGACTATAAATAGGCTCTCTGTGCATTGATACAAAGAGAAGTGCTGTGGACATCTGCTATATTAGAAGAAGCAGAATCTTTGGCATGCATGTCTTATGAAAGAGATCTAATCAATGCAATTACTTCTACTGATGAAAAATTCCTTGAACATTAGAAAAAAGACCTAAGGAGAGAATGATGTGTCTTTCTGTTTAGAATTGAATTGTGGATACTAGCAATTTGTACTGGATGTCTGCAAGAAGTTATTATTCATTATTCGTCCAAGTAAAATTCTTGTTGATCAATATCGGAACAATCCCGAACTTCTGAATCAAGCTTACCTGTTAGGGTAAAACCACAGGGAAAATTATTCCGAATTGATTCGTTTGAAGATAACCAGAAATGTTATTCAGAGAAGTGGTACAAACTATTTTTGCAGAAGTGTAGTAATTACTAGGTATTTTAAATTATTTAACATATTTATAAATGATCTTGCAATAAGCATTGAAAGTCATGTTTCAGTGTTTGCAGACGACACAAAACTCTGTAAAGTAAAACAATGTGAGCAGGATATTACTTCACTGCAGAGGGATTTAGATAGTTTCGGGAACTGGGCACTGGCAGATGAAGATTTATGTAGAATAATGTAAAATTATGCTCTTCGGGATAAAGAATGCACACCCTAAATGGTAGTGAATTAGGGAAAGCAACAGACGAGAAGGATTTGGGAATTGTTATAGGCAACAATGTGCAATGTCAATCGACAGTGGCTAAGGCCAGTAAGGTTTTGTTATGTATAAATAGGGACATTAATTCTCGGGATGAAAATATAATTTTGCCTCTTTATAAATCGTTGTTAAGACCACACCTTGAATATGCTGTGCAATTTTGGGCACCTGTTTTAAAGAAGAATATTATGGCACTAGAAAAAGTGCAGAGGCGGGGTACAAAATTAATAAAAGTAACAAAGAAATGTTAGCAAATTTGAATCTCTTTAGTTTGGAAAAATGGTACCTCAGAGGTGATATGATAGCATTATACAAATATATTCGGGGCCAACAGAAACCATCGTCTGGAAATCTATTCATAAACAAGACTATACATAGAACATGAGGTCACACATTTAGACTGGAAGAAAGAGAATTTAGTTTAAGGAAAAGGAAAGGGTTTTTTTACAGTAAGAACAATAAGGATGTGAAATTCTCTGCCTGAAGAGGTGGTTTTATCAGAGTCTATACAGATGTTTAAAAAGCAATTGGATATATACTTGCAAAAACATAATATTCTGAAATATAATTTTTCATTACATCCATGGAGATATCTGAATATCATTCTGGGACAAGAAGGCATTTTATTCCAAGTTTGTTTTAAATTTGGAAGTACTTAAAACAGGGTTTTTTGCCTTCTTTTGGATCAACAGCAAAAACAGATGTGAGAAATGCTGAACTTGATGGACCCATGTCTCTTTTCAGCTATGTAACTATGTAATGAGGCGCCCTGAACTTTGCCAGAAAAGTCCGCTAAAATCAAGGACTACCCAAGTGCAATTTGGTTTATGGCCTCACACATAAAGTTAGTGGAACTCTCTATCTGTCTCCACTTTACCATCTTTACAACTTATCACCTTACTAAATGTCAATTATCTTAATTATGGGGTGGTGCCCTCCACCCCTGGCGGCATGGGATCCATGTTTTGGTTTGGTTTGAAATAACACAAAGTATGCTATGAATTGATGTTTACAGCTCAGAAAAAATACATATTTAGATTTTTATTAAGCATTTACTGGAGTACACCAAGGAAGAGAGTGGAGTATTTCGGTTTCACTCTGACCAGCATTCTATATATAAGTATTTCTAGAAAGGAACCTGCACTGTAGGGATACACAACGTGTCCTGGATCCATACCATTACTGATATCGGTATTAATAACGAAAGCTCTCTAATAAACGTGCCTCATGTGAATATTCTCTTTTATGTGAAATTTCTATATGAGCAAACTTTTTACATGCTGTAAACAACCTTTTTGGCAAATAAATATTTGAAGAAAAAAATTGATGGCACTATGCACTTAGATAAATGTTTTAATTAGTGTATGCAGATGTCAGCTGACTGGCATAGAACCTAAGCCCATGCAATATGTGTAGCAACACTGGGAACAGAATGGCTCAGTGATCTCCTCTTATCAGGGTTCACATTCACCAACGTATGACTCCCACTCTTGTCACCCTTCATTTGGCTGCACATTGAGTGAGTTTGAAAGGCCTGCAGGTTAATGCAGACCCACCCATCCTAACAATGTTAAATCCCCCCATATCCTCACAGAGAGGGACAACGCACAGGACCCACCCTCCAAACATTAAACTACAAGCTGTAGCTCATGAACTGGTAATTTTTGTGTTCTAATCTAAATCCTTCTTTGAAGGATATATTTATATATAGCCACCTTTGCTGTGGACTAAGTGGGTAGGATGATGTGCCAGCCCAGTTGATTGGCCAACTCAGTTCCTGATCTAGCAGATTCTTCCTTGGTGGCCAATAAAATGCACATGTTGCTTGAATGAAAAAATATTGTGTGGAGATATATAGTTAATATACAGGTGTACATTTTTCTGGAAGTTGTTACACAAATTCCACTGGGATTCAGTGGCGTCACTAAGGTTGGTGTCACCCATTGCAGTAACTCACGATGTCACCCCAACCCCCTTAATAATGTGGGGGTTTTATGTTTGTTTTTTACTAATGGAACTCGTAAATCATAACTCCCAAATAACACTAAATGTAATTGCAATAGTGACATTAACAACTAGGAAAATTAAAATGACCTTTAAATTACAATATCATATGAAAATAATAGAATTCGATCTGTGGGAACATCGGCATGATGCGTCCGATCCAGAGGTGACACCATCACAGGACTCAGCCAGGTTAGAGGTTACTAAGTAAATATCCTGCCTGGCTGGTGTCGGTGGTGTCACCCAGGGCCGGTCTTATGTGTTCAGGCGCCTTGTGCAAGCCAGTCTTGTGGCGCCCCCCACCCCCACTCTCGCCGTCTGTTTGGAGGCGGTACAGTGTCAACCTGTCAAATCCAGCCCTTCTACAAAACCCTGCCCTCCTTCACCTTCGAACAGCTCGCACACCCCAAAGACCGACCCTGGTGTCATCTTCCCCTCCCCCCCATGATGCACACCCTGGTGCACACTCCCGCATCCACCTTGTAACCACTGCTGAGAGTAGCAAAGGAATGAAGCTGTAGAGAATTTTTCATTTGACATTATGCAAAAAAGTTTTAATGATGTGCTGTCAGATGCATGATTGCACTATTGGTGCCTGGACTTTCACTATAATGTTCAGAGACTTTTTATTATTATTGGGCCTTTCCCTTTAACTTTCATTTCCATATGAGAACTTTGAATAAGGTCAACTATCAGTTGTTGTGAATAAATGCTCCCATATCAAGCATATTTACATAGTTTTCTGCAGATACATTTGAATGGTTTTATCACTGCAGATATTACTGGCGACAGCATATATCACTATGCACAGATTATATAACTCCTAATTGCACAGCTATCCAGGCATATACTACTGATCTCTTATCTCAGAAAATAAATATTGTAAATACTATTTTTTTTTTTTTTTATTAGTTTATGAGGTTCGTTCCCACTGTGTGCCACTACACTATTCTTTCCCATAGTAAAATAAGTGAATCTTGAAAAGATAATTTGCACATACGTTGTTCCAGTATAGTAAGGAGAAAAAGAATGATATTTATCCACATTTCCCGGCATTAAAAATGTAGGTAGGTGGGTGGAGCCAACTAGCTAATAGAGCGGTCGCATGCACCCTGAGCACCAATACAGAATAGTCCTGAAACACAAAATTACCCTATTTGGGTAAGCTGGTTTGCAGTTAAAAAGCACTAACTGGAGCAGGAGGCCATGAGCAAGCACTCCTGCAAATCTCGGGGGTTCGAGTGAGAGCCACACCCGGGAGATCAGCTTCTTACTCACCCAGCCATCCAGGTCTAAAATGGCGGATTAAATGGCAGATACACCACGCGGATCCACATCGGCCTCAGAGGAGGAAGATCCAGAACCGAAGGAGCTTCAGCCACATACCCAAAGTGGCAAAGTAGTTCCTCAGCGGCAGCCCTACCCACAATTGGCCACAAAAACAGACATCACCGCGATGGTGACAAAGATCAAGGCCTACATTGCAGTCCTGAAAACAGACCTCAGCACTCTGGTAGGCAGGATACAATCCACAGAGGAAAATGTCAGCAGCCTCGGAGTCAAACAGGACACCACAACAGCTCAGCCCTTACATGTGCAGAGCTGAGGGCAAAAATGGGACAGCTGGAAGATATTGCAAGACAGCGCAATTTAAAAACCCAGGGGATCCCAAATGCTATCGATGCTGGTGAGCTCCCACAGTTCATCAGGAGACTAATCTCCACTACTCTAACACCCAAACAGGCTAAAGGAATGCTACTAGATGGGATATACCGCCTCCCAGGGAGCCTTACAAACAAACCCTCTGGATCAAGAGATGTCATAGTATGTTTTCGGTCATGAACTGACTAGGACACATTTATGGCACAAGTCAAAGGCCAATCACCATTTATTTTTGAATAGCATTCACTGTGCTTCTTTCAAGACTTCATCAGGTCCACATTGCAATGGTGTGCAACATTAAAGGAGGTGACCTCTCAACTGCGAACAGCAGACATTCAATACAGGTGGGGGAACCCACAGGCGCTTGTGGCAGAGAGGAATGGTAAAAGGCACAGACTTACCTCAGTGTCCAACGCCGAGAGCTTCCTGCAATCTCTGGGACTGACTGCTAACACTACTTCCAGGCCGAACCCACCTGCCACTAAGTAAAACCTTCCATGCCTCGGTATGGCTTATTTGCTGTACTACTTTAGGGCAGCTCCGCTTATTATTCTCTCCCTTGTGACACATAATCTTGTGGCTGACACCTGGTGGTAAACGTTCATGTTTTTATCTCATAATTATATCTAGCCCATTTCTCATATTCTAGCTACTTACCTTGACTAAGCTCGTCATCATAGTTGACCATCAAGACCAATGCCTAGGATATGTAATTGCTTTATTATAACTTCTCTCATTATCACTCCTACGCAATGTACATGGATTCTAAGCTACAATATTATCAAGGGTTTCTGTGTTGGCATGTTTGTATCTGCATTATCTCTGCATGTGGAAAATGAAGGCCTCAACCTGCTTCCTGAAAACCCAAACATGTATTTTAAGCTGTACTTTTATGGGCCAGATCCTCTGGATTTTTAATGTAAATGACTGTCTTTTATGAGACAATAATGGAATAGGATTTGTTTTATCACATAGCAGAGAGCTGCACTGGAACTTTAAACCTCTTCAGTACTGCCATTGATGTCATTGTGTATCACAGATAGTGCTACTAAGACATGCAGTACAATACAGTTTGTGGTACCCATATACAGTGTAGTATATGTAGTTCTATCTAGATATACAGGTAGCCTTTATCACGATAAAACATGTTAAATCAAAAACCTCCAGAAAACTCAAAGTAATACATAAAAAAAAGCTTTGCAGGTATTAACACAAACAATACAACAAAGAAACAATAAATGTACATTTTGTCAATGATTAATCTCAGCTACGTATACATACACCGGTGAGATTGTGTTTAGAGTCAACTTCAAGAGAGTAGTTTTGAAACAAAATGGGAAAAACAAATATTTTTTTATTTTTAATTGTTGTGCAAAGTGTGTGTGTGTGTGTGTGTGTGTGGGGAATTAAGCCACAAAGCTAATGGATCAGCATATATTTAGCTATCTATTTATTTATTTAAACAGTTTAACCTGGCAGTAGGCTATCTCATTGCACAGATGCTGAATTCGGGGCATGCTGGTTTAAATATCCAAATTGATCACCGTCTGGTTTTCGAAGTGTTGGAATATTTGGTTTTACAACCGCTATTACTCTAGTGTGTACCCAAATTGGAGGTTTTTTTTAAAGGAACACTATAGTCACCTAAATTACTTTAGCTAAATAAAGCAGTTTTAGTGTATAGATCATTCCCCTGCAATTTCACTGCTCAATTCACTGTCATTTAGGAGTTAAATCACTTTGTTGCTGTTTATGCAGCCCTAGCCACACCTCCCCTGGCTATGATTGACAGAGCCTGCATGAAAAAAAAAACTGGTTTCACTTTCAAATAGATGTAATGGTAATTCTAAAGGATTATTTCTAAGGCACCCAGACCACTTCAGCTTAATGAAGTGGTCTGGGTGCCAGGTCTTTCTAGGGTTAACCCATTTTTTCATAATTATAGCAGTTTCAGAGAAACTGCTATAATTATGAATGGGTTAAGCCTTCCCCCTAATCCTCTAGTGGCTGTCCCATTGACAGCCACTAGAGGCGCTTGCGTGCTTCTCACTGTGATTTTCACAGTGAGAGCACGCAAGCGTCCATAGGAAAGCATTGATAATGCCTGAGATCGCTGAATGCGCCACAGCTCTACGCTGCGCGCATCGTTTCCACGGGTGATCGGAGGAGGATCGGAGGAGGAGAGCTCTCCGCCCAGCGCTGGAAAAAGGTAAGTTTTACCCCTTTTCCCCTTTCCAGAGCCGGGGCGGGAGGGGGTCCCTGAGGGTGGGGGCACCCTCAGGGCACTATAGTGCCAGGAAAACGAGTATGTTTTCCTGGCACTATAGTGGTCCTTTAAATAATTGTATCTCAATCTCTAAATTGAACTTTAATCACATACAGGAGGCTCTTGCAGGGTCTAGCAAGCTATTAACATAGCAGGGGATAAGAAAATCTTAATTAAACAGAACTTGCAATAAAGAAAGCCTACATAGGGCTCTCTTTACAGGAAGTGTTTATGGAAGGCTGTGCAAGTCACATGCAGGGAGGTGTGACTAGGGTTCATAAACAAAGGGATGTAACTCCTAAATGGCAGAGGATTGAGCAGTGAGGCTGCAGGGGCATGTTCTATAAACCAAAACAGCTTCATTAAGCTAAAGTTGTTCAGGTGACTATAGTGTCCCTTTAAGGCCATTTCACCTGATTATACAAGTTGGTTGAGAACAAATAAATCTGTGCAGCTAGGCCTAAGGAATTTTCCTTGATGTGTAAAAAGCACATATTTTCATGATATTAGCATTCCAATTCATGTATAGGAACTTGTGGAAAAAATATCCAAACAGTTTTCATTTACTGCATGAACTTGGGAAGAGTAACTTTGTATGCATCATTACACCTCAAAGCTTAAATGGCCACCTGCCAGGTCACTTCCTGAAAGACAAACTGTGATAATAGCCATAAAGAGGGAAATGTATAATTCACAGATACTATTTAAAGGGCATGGCTCAGTGAGGCCCATTCTGCAGGATCCGTGTAGTTTTTCTGGGCAGGTGGTATATTTCTTTGTGTGTGTTGCATGCTTGTAATTTTTTAGGCTAATGAGATTTCTTTGTTACTTAAATTAGCAATTGCATATTTTATTTCTCTGTACTTGTTCAGGATTTTTGAATAATTAATGTTTTTGGAAAGTTCTTTTTTTCCTTAAAGCTAACCATGCTATTTATTTATTGATTGATAAAATATTTTACTAGGAAGGATACGTTGGGATTTCTTTCGTTTTCAAGTATGTCCTGAGCCCACAAACATTGCATTGTTACAATAGAGTACAATATAATATTAAAAATACAAAGTAATATTAAAATACACATATATAGATTTAACAAAGAACAGGTAGGAAAATTAGCCATGATTGCAAGGGCATTCTATATTGAGGTATGTCGACAGAGATCTCTTTAAAGGATTTTAGACTGGAGGAAGATTTGATCATGTCTGTGAGGTTATTCCATAATTGCAGGAAAATGAGGATCGGGCCACTTTATTTTTGTGGTAGACTAAATACAGGGCTGGTACTGGATATAGAAGGTGCAAACAGTTGGGGAGAGCATTCTACTTGGGTAGGGTGGGAGCATCGCAGGAAAGCTCCTAAACACAAGGCTGGATAGATGAATGGTGTGTCTGGATTGATACACTGAAGTAAGTTTCCGAAGGTGGGTTTGCAGTGCGGGTGCATACACTAAATCCCCATATTCAATAACTGGCATTAGCATTTGTTGTACAATCAGTTTCCTTACCGTAGGGCTTAGGCAAGATTTGTTTCTGCACAGGGCACCTAGTTCTGGATAAAGTTTCGGAGAGTTTTTTTTTTTAATGTGGAGGCCAAAAGATAGGTTAGGGTCTAGCCACACACATAGACATTTGAAAGAACGGACTGTGTTCAGTGTGTTATTTAATTTTGTGCAGATGCATAGATGGGAATTTTGTACTTTATTTAATTTAGGTACTGTTCCAAAGGTAAATAACATAAATAATAATAAATGTAAATAACATAATAATAATAATAAAGGTCATTGTGACAACTTTGTCAGTGTTTAGGAAACGTTTTCTGCGATCCACTTTTCTCCCTTTGTGAACTGTTCTTGGAGCACAGCCTCAAGCTGTGGTAGATTTAGTTTGCTAGCGTTGATTATGGTTGTAGCGGAACGCCAATATACAATCCACGAATTCCGCTGGTCCAGAACGAATCCACAGTCAAGCGCTGAAAACACCAAGGCAATATCCCCAACCTCCCAATAACCGGACGAGACACAGTTTTGGGAGTCAACTGACAATCCTTTATTCAGCACGACAATTTATACAAGTCCCCATGCAAGGGGTCTCCTGAGTCCCTTCCCAGGGGCATTCCCAGAGGGGACTACATGGGGGACTTACAGTATAACATATTTCTCCCATCAGGCACTGCTGCACGAGAGGGATCATCCTCCCAGAATGCACCGTTAAGGGGATTATCCCCTCGTGCAGCAGAACCGGCAATTCATATAAAAATACATAACTTTTAAAATACATGGTGGATTTACACGAATGGACGTTCGGTAGATAGCTGGGGTCTGGGCGCATCATTCGTGAGATTGCTGCTCAGATCCCAGCCAAATTAACCGAACGCCGCACAGAAAACACATTTCTTACAAAACCCACAAAAGGAACCGATTGCTTTGGGTGAACTGGGTCCTGAAACTCCCGAACGTCTGGGAGGCTCAGCGGTGTTCGTGCCGTCGAATAACTATTGGTAGTAGTATGCGTTCGACGACACGAACCCGCTGACGAACAAGGGATCCAAGATGGCCGACCGCCGCATGGTCGGTAGTCGAACGACGGCCACCCAGGAGAGCCTCTAATAACCGATTGCAACAATGTTGCAATCGGTTAACTAGCGCCACACGCCTCTAAGTGTGTGGGCTATTAGGGGGTATCGCGTTCGGTTCACGAACGGCTTTCTAAAGTGCCGTTCGTGAAACGAAAGAAAATCCCCATACAAAACCGCCAATTGCATTCGGCGGAAACAGTATTACAGGCAACACGGAAAATACCTTAACATCTACATATGTGTACAGCGCATATCTCGCCCGACCTAGTGGCAACCCTTAAAGGCACAGTCTCTGGTTATTGTCCAAGTGGCTAGGTTTGCCACAATGCTCCCCCAGAACCAAGCCGGCATACACAGCCTGATCCCAACGGATCGGCTTGGGGATGTCCGGGGGAGTGCTCACAGATCATTTCTCAAGGTCTGTTTGTCTGGACAACCCGTCGGCATTACCGTTTTGTTTCCCTGGGCGGTAGTGTATTGTAAAGTCAAAGGGCTGCAGCGCCAAACTCCAGCGCAGCAGCCTGGCATTGTCTCCCGCCACACGGTTTAGCCACACCAGCGGGTTGTGATCTGTGAGCAAAGAAAAGGGTTGCCCATAGAGATACGGCTGTAACTTTTTCAGGGCCCACACCACGGCCAGGCATTCCTTCTCTATGGCGGCGTAGCTCACTTCTCGGGGTAGCAGCTTCCGACTCAAGTAGGCTACGGGGTGTTCTCCGCCATCGGCTCCGACCTGGCTCAGTACTGCTCCCAATCCAAACATTGAGGCGTCTGTGTGAACAAGAAAACGTTTAGTTGGATCAGGAGCAGCCAGTACAGGGGCATTGGTCAGAGCCGTCTTCAGCTGGTTGAATGCCTGTTCACACTCTGGGGCCCAGACGACCTGCCGGGGCAGGTTTTTCTTCGTCAAATCAGTCAGGGGTTTGGCCAGGGCACTGTAGTTGGGTACAAATTTTCTGTAATACCCTGCGGTACCTAGGAAAGCCAGGACTTGGGTTTTGGTCCTAGGGGTAGGCCACTGGGCTACAGCTTCAATCTTTGCGGGCTCAGGCTTCTGCTGCCCGCTACCAACCCGGTGTCCTAAGTACTGGACCTCTGCCATCCCTATGTGGCATTTGCTGGGTTTCAAGGTAAGCCCTGCCTCTCGAATCCGGTCTATTACTGCCCCTATGTGTTGTAGGTGTTCTGCCCAGGTCTGACTGTAGATGGCAATATCGTCCAGATATGCACACGCATAGTCCTGGAACCCGTCCAGTAGCCGATCCACCATCCGCTGGAATGTCGCGGGGGCGTTCTTCATCCCGAATGGCATGACTCGAAATTGGTACAAGCCAAACGGGGTGACAAACGCCGACTTAGGAATGGCGTCCTCGGCTAGTGGAATTTGCCAGTATCCCTTACACAAATCTATGGTAGTGAGATACTGACCCCTGGCCATCCTATCAAGCAGTTCGTCTATCCGAGGCATCGGGTAGGCGTCCGACACAGTTTTGTCGTTCAACCTCCGGTAGTCCACACAGAACCGGGTGGTACCATCTTTCTTGGGAACCAGGACTACCGGCGATGCCCAGGGGCTATCTGAGTGTTCAATAACCCCCAACTGCAACATCTCTTCGATTTCCTTCCTCATATGTTCCCGCACGGATTCAGGAATCCGATATGGAGTCTGTCGCATGGGAAGCTGTCCCGGGGTTTCTACTCGGTGGGTGGCTAGTGGAGTGTACCCAGGTAGATTAGAAAAGGTAGCGCTCTTTGCTGCTATCAGTTCTCGTACCTGAATACGCTCTTGAGGACTTAGCCGCTCCCCCAGTTGAACCCCCTGGGAGGGTTCCTTCTGCTCCTCCTGCTCTAACAGATCGGGAAGGGGCAGGTTCTCCTGATCTTCGGAGGCGGGCGTGCAAATAGCTGCCACGTCCTCCGTCCGCTCGTGGTAGGGTTTGAGCATGTTCACATGGAGCATGCGTCTCTTCCCTACTCCGGAGCATGGGCCGATCACATAGGTGGTATCGCATCTCTGCTCTACCACCTGGTATGGGCCCTGCCAGACGGCCTGTAGTTTATCGGTGCGGACTGGTTTAAGGATTAGCACCTTCTGCCCCACTTGAAAACTACGGTCTCTGGCCCCTCTGTCATACCAACGACGCTGTCGTTGTTGGGCGGCCTGGAGGTTGGTGCGCACCGCCTGGGTCAATTCCTCCAGGCGATCCCGGAACGCCAGCACGTAGGGTACAATAGGGGTCCCATCTGCACTACTCTCTCCCTCCCAATGCTCCCTAATGAGATCCAACGGCCCCCGGACCCTTCTCCCAAACAATAGTTCAAAGGGGGAAAAACCCGTAGACTCTTGGGGCACCTCTCTGTATGCGAACAACAGATGGGGAAGGAATCGTTCCCAGTCCTTATGGGTCTCTCCGAATGTTCGAAGCATCTGTTTTAGGGTACCGTTGAATCTCTCACATAATCCATTGGATTGCGGGTGGTACGCGGAGTTAATGATCGGCTTTATGCCACATATCCTCCATAACTGCTGAGTAACCTCAGCCGTGAATTGGGTCCCCCTATCTGAGACCATTTCCTGTGGGAACCCTACTCGGGAGAAGATTTTCATCAAGGCTTCGGCTACGGTCTCCGCGTGGATATTAGTTAGGGCAATCGCCTCGGGGTACCGGGTGGCGTAATCCACCACGGTCAGGATATACCGTTTCCCAGAGGGGCTGGGCTTTGGTAGTGGTCCTACTATATCTACTGCTACCCGGCTGAACGGTTCCTCAATTATGGGGAGGGGACATAGTTTTGCCTTATGGCGATCCCCCCTTTTGCCTACCCTCTGGCACACATCACAGGAGGTACAATATTGCCTTACGTCTTTGGAAATCCCGGGCCAAAAGAATGCGTGCGTTAAGCGATATCGGGTCCGGGTCATCCCTAGATGGCCGGACAGAGGGATGTCATGGGCGATTCTTAGTAACTCCTGCCTATATTTCTGGGGTACTACTAGCTGCTTGGTTTGGAGCGTCACAGAGCTGCCTATGGCCCGTTCCGCCACCCGGTACAGTAACTTCTTTTCCCATACGTACCGTTCTCCCTCCCGCCCCACCTGGTCCGTGTCTACCCTATCTCGGTACACCTGCAGTGTGGGGTCTGTCTGAACCTCAGCTTCAAATGTGGTCGGGGTGTCCCAAGTCATGTCGGTCAAGGGGGGGTCATGGTGTCTTACCTGAGCCTCAGAGTGTGCGGGGAATGCCGTGGTGCGAGCCTGTTGCCGGGTGGTTACCGGATGCGCCTCTTGGGAAGGGGCCTGGGGAAGAAACGCAGAAGTCATCGGGCCCAAGTCATTCCCCAAAACAACATCGGCCGGTAGTTTCTTCATTATGGCCACCTCTACAACCCCCTCCCCAGCACCCCAGTTCAAATGCACTTTGGCCGTGGGTAACCGGTACATAGCTCCCCCTGCTACCCGGACTGCCACTGATCCGCCAGTGTGGGCCGTATCTGGAATTAAATGGGGGCCACTAAGGTCAAGGTGGCTCCCGAGTCCCGCAGCCCCTGCACTTCTTTCCCTCCCACAAATACAACTTGGCGGTGATGCTGCCGGTTGTCCGTGGCTTGCACCGACATCACCTCGTACAGAACCCCCAATGGTTCTTCGGTTGATAGACTTGTCAGCTCCGAGTGGTCCGGTTCGGTGTGGTAGAAATGGGCCACTGCCCTTGGCGCGGAGTTTTGCCGTACTTGGTTCCACGCCTGCCTGCTCCGATTCTGGGTGCACTCCCGGGACATATGCCCCCACTGCCGGCAGGTATGGCATTGTATGTTGGCCCTGCCATTGTAGCGTGATGGCGGTGGGGGGTTTCCTGATGGTGGCCGGAATGGAGTAGCGTTGGTGGGTGTGGAGATGGTTGGGTGGTGTGGTACAGCTGGTCTCAGGGGAGCCCTGTTGGGAAGCCCATGATGCCTTCGGGCGTCAAAATGCTGATCCGCCAGCCGGGCGGCTTCGGTTAGGGTGAGGGGTTTCCTGTCCCTTACCCATTCTTGTGCCTCAGGTGACAGTCCGTTAAAAAATTGTTCCAGCAAGATGAGCTGGCGCAGTTCCTCCATTGTGGTAGCTTGGCTCGCCTGAATCCATCCTTGCGACGCTTGGTCGAGCTTATGTGCCCACTCAGCGTGGGAATCTTTCTCGGGCTTCCTCAATCCTCGAAATTTACGCCGGTATGCCTCCGGGGTTATGGCATACCTCTCCAGAATTGCCCTCTTAACTTTAAAATAGTCCTTGCTATTTTCTCTGGGCACAGCGCGATACGCCTCGGCTGCTCGTCCTGCCAACTTGCCTGCCAGTAGGGGTACCCACATAGCCTGTTCTAGATCATGTAGGTCGCACAACCGCTCAAAATCCTGCAGGTATCCGTCAATCTCGTCTTTCTCCTCGCAGAATGCTTTAAATGCCTGGTAAGGTATTTTCTGCTTCACTGGAGCGCAGAATGAATTGGCGATGGATTCTGCCCTGGATGGTGACCTCTGGTGTTGCTGTGCCATAATATAATCCTGGACGTCCGCCATCAGTATAGTTAAGATGTCCAGGGTTACTGGCTGTGGTACAAATTCCAGCCGGGTTCTCAGTTCCCTCTGGTACGGTGTTTCCTCTCTGGCAGGTGGGGGTGGACTGCTGTGTGCTTGGTCGCCCTCCATTAGCTCTGCAATCAGGGCTGCTTTCGATTTATTGCTAGCGCTTTTCCCTCTAGCCTCCAGCAGCTCCTTTAGCGTCTGTCTCTTTAACGCCGTGTAATCAGTCCCCATTCACTGATCGCTTTCGTCTGCTTGTTTCATACGAATTGCCTTTCCGTTCGGTAATTCCTTTCATTCGAATGCGCTGTATTCGGCTGTAGAGTTGGATCCCGTCGCTTGCCACCAATTGTAGCGGAACGCCAATATAAAATCCACGAATTCCGCTGGTCCAGAACGAATCCACAGTCAAGCGCTGAAAACACCAAGGCAATATCCCCAACCTCCCAATAACCGGACGAGACACAGTTTTGGGAGTCAACTGACAATCCTTTATTCAGCACGACAATTTATACAAGTCCCCATGCAAGGGGTCTCCTGAGTCCCTTCCCAGGGGCATTCCCAGAGGGGACTACATGGGGGACTTACAGTATAACATATTTCTCCCATCAGGCACTGCTGCACGAGAGGGATCATCCTCCCAGAATGCACCGTTAAGGGGATTATCCCCTCGTGCAGCAGAACCGGCAATTCATATAAAAATACATAACTTTTAAAATACATGGTGGATTTACACGAATGGACGTTCGGTAGATAGCTGGGGTCTGGGCGCATCATTCGTGAGATTGCTGCTCAGATCCCAGCCAAATTAACCGAACGCCGCACAGAAAACACATTTCTTACAAAACCCACAAAAGGAACCGATTGCTTTGGGTGAACTGGGTCCTGAAACTCCCGAACGTCTGGGAGGCTCAGCGGTGTTCGTGCCGTCGAATAACTATTGGTAGTAGTATGCGTTCGACGACACGAACCCGCTGACGAACAAGGGATCCAAGATGGCCGACCGCCGCATGGTCGGTAGTCGAACGACGGCCACCCAGGAGAGCCTCTAATAACCGATTGCAACAATGTTGCAATCGGTTAACTAGCGCCACACGCCTCTAAGTGTGTGGGCTATTAGGGGGTATCGCGTTCGGTTCACGAATGGCTTTCTAAAGTGCCGTTCGTGAAACGAAAGAAAATCCCCATACAAAACCGCCAATTGCATTCGGCGGAAACAGTATTACAGGCAACACGGAAAATACCTTAACATCTACATATGTGTACAGCGCATATCTCGCCCGACCTAGTGGCAACCCTTAAAGGCACAGTCTCTGGTTATTGTCCAAGTGGCTAGGTTTGCCACAATGGTGCCGTCTGCATACATGTGTACAGTACAATATGTAAATTAGGTTACAGTTAGTTATGCTGGGTGTGGTTGTTTTCATTAAAAGAACACTCCAACCACCAGAAAGGACTGTTGTGGTTATGGTGCCAGGAGTGCCACGTCATTCCACCCCCAGTGTAAGTAGCCAAAACGTTTAAGAACAGCTTGACAACTTACCTGGGCCTCCATTGCCCACATGCTCCTGCAGAGAGCGGTGCAGAGACGTGCTCATTGGCTTAGTGCACTCAGCTGATTCTATCAGCCAATGAGCGAGCACTACATGGCAGAGCTTAGCTTCGTGGAACTAACATAAACTCTTTGTTCCAGTGAAGCTGGTGGCAGATCCCAGGTACATTGTCACATTATTTGCAAAACATTTGACTACTAGGGTACTCGTGGTACTAGAGGTTCTCCTAGGTTTCAGAAATATTTGGGTCTTGAGCTCAATGGCCCCTCCATTATAGGACCACTATAGTGCCAGGTAAACATACTGGTTTCCTGGCACTATAGTGCCCTGAGGGTGCCCCCACCCTCAGGGTCCCCCTCACGCCGGGCTCTGGGGAGAAGAAGGGATTAAACTTACCTCTTTCTCCAGCGCCGGGCAGGGAACTCTCCTCCTCCTCTCCTCCTCTTCGGCTGAATGCGCACGCATTCAGCCAGTCCCTAGGAAAGCATTCACAATGCTTTCCTATGGACGCTGGCGTCTTCTCACTGTGATTTTCACAGTGAGAAGCGCGGAAGCCCTGTAGCGGCAGTTAATGAGACAGCCACTATAGGCTTGATTAACCCTAATATGAACATAGCAGTTTCTCTGAAACTGCTATGTTTATAGAAAAAAGGGTTAACCCTAGCTGGACCAGGCACCCAGACCACTTCATTAAGCTGAAGTGGTCTGGGTGCCTATAGTGGTCCTTTAACAGTGAAGTGACATATCCCTGCATTTTCCACTGATGAACAGCGAGCTGCTATGCTGTCCAGAATTTCAAGACATCATAGCCAGAAACACGCACATGTTTAAAAAACAAACAAAAAAAAAACGTTATTAAATGCCATCCTGTCACGCTACCTATCTAATAAAGGGATGTGCAGCATAGTTCTGTTCCTAAGCACCCCCTCCTGATTGGGGGACACCACACCCTCCCTCTTAGTAGCCCAACATAACACTACACTACAGATCTCTCTTTTTATAATAGGCAGCTGCTTTGAGAAGCAGAAGACTGATGTAAATTAAAAATAAAAAGCTAATGTATTTCTGCCTCCTCCACCATCTGTAGACATCCGTGACCTAAAGTGCCTCATATCTGGGGCTTCATTCCCCCCAAGGACCCCCATTAGCAATGCGTGTGCAGAGCACCTTGACATTTCTTTAATCTTATTTACAATTCTTATTTAGTTTCCTTATGGAATGCTCTCCTGCAGCACATTCAACTCTCCCAGTCTCTGCAGTACTTAAAGATATTCCCTAAACACACTTCTTTAGAGCAGCATTTCTCAATCTTTTATGGGAAAGTACCCCTGCAGGTCTTAAAAGAAATCCTAAGTGCCTCTGCATCAAGAAAGTAATTTATGTTCATTTAAATTCCAAATGAAATGTGTAGACACTGATATTTAAATTAATCCCATATTGGAGAACAAGCTTGACTAAAGGTAATAAAGAATATTTTTCAAATAAATATGACATAATGTAAAATGTAAGGAGGAGTGTATGAACTAATAATCACAAAATGAAGTATCACTGATATGACACACACTGACAAACACACATTCACTGACCGACAAACACTGACATAGAAACACACACTCACAGACAGACACACACTCTTTCTTTTAAACACACTCACAACTTATTATTTTTATTAAGTCCACCCAAACCCATACCTTTCCTTGGTGTCTAGTGTGGCTGCTCTCATCTTCATAGTCTGCTCGCTCATGTGTGGTGATGTCGGGGCTGGAGTGACTTATCACCGTAGGGCGTGTGAGGGAGCAGTGCTGGAAGATCACAGACAGCCGCTCGGGTAAGCAGGTGCCTTCTCTGCCTTAGCGCACATCCTCCCGCCATGTCTTTGTGTACCTCCTGCTTTTGGTGCATGTACCCCCTGAGGTACACTTAATACAAGTTGATAAACATAGAAATATAGAATGTGACGGCAGGTAAGAACCATTCGGCCCATCTAGTCTGCCCAATTTTCAAAATACTTTTAATTAGTCCCTGGCCTTATCTTAAGTCTAGGATAGACTTATGCCTATCCCACGCATGCTTAAACTCCCTCTCTGTGTTAACCTCTACCACTTCAGCTGGAAGGCTATTCCATGCGTCTCAATAAAGCAATACTTCCTGAAGTTATTTTTTAATTTTTGCCCCTCTAATTTAAGACTATGTTCTCTTGTTGTGGTAGTTTTTCTTCTTTTAAATATAGTCTCCTCCTTTACTGTGTTGATTCCCTTTCTGTATTTGAATGTTTCTATCATATCCCCCCTGTCTCGTCTTTCCTCCAAGCTATACATGTTAAGATCCTTTAACCTTTCCTGGTAAGTTTTATCCTGCAATCCATGAACCAGTTTAGTAACCCTTCTCTGAACTCTTTCTAAAGTATTAATATCCCTCTGAAGATACGGTCTCCAGTACTGTGTACAATACTCTAAGTGAGGTCTCACCAGTGTTCTGTACAATGGCATGAACACTTCTACACTCTACTGCTAATGCCTCTCCCTATGCAACCAAGCATTCTGCTAGCATTTCCCGCGGCTCTGTTACATTATCTGCCTACCTTTAAGTCATCTGAAATAATCACCCCTAAATCCCTTTCTTCAGATGTTGAGGTTAGTAGGGTATCAAATATTCTATACTGTGCCCTTGGGGTTTTACTTCCAAGATGCATTATCTTGCACTTATCCACATTAAATGTCAGTTGCCACAGGTCTGACCATTTTCTAATTTATCTAAATCATTTGCCATTTGGCTTATCCCCCCTGGAACATCAACCCTGTTATATATCTTAGTATCATCAGCAAAAATACATACCTTACCATCAGGACCTTCTGCAATATCACTAATAAAAATAATAAAGAGAATGGGTCTAAGTACAGATCCCTAAGGTACCCCATTGGTAAGTAGAACTTGCTTTGAATATACTCTGTTGACTACAACCTTCTGTTGCCTGTCACTCAGCCACTGCCTTACCCATTCAACAATATTGGAATCCAAACTTAAATATTGCAGTGTATTGATGAGCCTTCTTTGTGGAACAGTGTCAAAAGCCTTACTGAAATCTAGGTAAGCAATGTCTACTGCACCTCCCTGATCGGTTATTTTAGTTACCCAATCAAAAAAATCAATAAGATTAGTTTGGCATGATCTCCTTGAAGTAAACCCATGTTGTCTCTGATCTTGAAATCCATGTGTTTTTAGATGTTCATCAATCCTATCCTTTAACATGGTTTCCATCACTTTCCCCATTACTGAAGTAAGGCTTACTGGCCTATAGTTGCTCGACTCCTCCCTATTACCTTTCTTGTGAATGGGCACAACATTGGCTAATTTCCAGGGTTTTAAAGGAAGCTTTCCAGCCCTCCCTTAATCCCTGTTTCTTTATAAACTTCCCTCTCATATACTGTGCTCCCTCCTACCAAACACCCCCACATCCTTCATATTTCCTCTGTGTATTTGTCCCTCATCCTTTGAGATTTGAACCTCATTTTGGCAGTTCCCATTTCACCTACTGTTCCGGTACATCAAACATGAATTAAATATTTGTCTTGTTTACACATTGTCCAGTGTTACAGAAAATGTTGGCACTATATAAATAATGGTAATTGTAAATTAATAGGCAGTGCACCACAAAGTTTAGTGAACACATCTCCAGTTTAGGTAACACATCTCCAGTTCAATATTTTCCTCCCAAAGGAACAATTACATTCTATAACCCTACAACCATCTGTTCCCGATGGCTCATTAAAGGACCACTATAGTGCCAGGAAAACATACTCGTTTTCCTGGCACTATAGTGCCCTGAGGGTGCCCCCACCCTCAGGGTCCCCCTCCCACCCGGCTCTGGAAGGGGAAAGGGGTAAAAACTTAAATTTTTCCAACGCTGGGCGGGGAGCTATTCTCCTCCGATCCTCCTCCGTTCCTCCCCGTCGGCTGAATGCGCACGCGCGGCAAGAGCTGCGCGCGCATTCAGCCGATTGCATAGGAAAGCATTCACGATGCTTTCCTATGGACGCTGGCGTGCTCTCACTGTGAAAATTACAGTGAGAAGCACGCAAGCGCCTCTAGCGGCTGTCATGAGACAGCTGCTAGAGGCTTTGGGGGAAGGCTTAACCCATTCATAAACATAGCAGTTTCTCTGAAACTGCTATGTTTATAAAAGAATGGGTTAATCCTAGCTGGACCTGGCACCCAGACCACTTCATTAAGCTGAAGTGGTCTGGGTGCCTAGAGTGGTCCTTTAACCAACATGGAATCTCTCCATAATGGAATGACAGCAAGGCTTTATACAGCTCTTGAAGTGGAATAATCAAGGCATTCCACACTGGCATAGACATTATTTAGTTGCGAGATTCTGATGATAGTAAGAAATGTAATTGGTCTTAAAAGGGTTAACCTAGACCTTCATGATTGTGTCTTCATTGACTAGGATATCCTAAAAATCACTCATTGGCAAAACTACCTTCATGTACCTGTGAATTAAAAATTAATTATTAGTCCGCAAGATGAACTGGAAAAATGTAGCAATCAGTTATGTATCTAGTTCTGCTATTGCCTTTTATTTTGAGATTCAGAACATTTGTTTTGAGTACTAGACAATTCCCACTGTAATGAACAGTACTGACAGGGCAAGTCTTTTTGAAACGGCTTGTTCTATTATACATTAATAAATCAAAGTCCCTAAAGGGAAATGTATACTACATGGCCTATACTGAAATGATTGCTACCCTGCAGCACCATTTGCATTAAGTGACCTTGATCAATGTAAGCGTCTGTTGTTGTCAATAATTATGTTGGGGCAGGGTTTATATAAAATAATTCTACAATATAGCATTGATTAAAGAAATACTCAAAGCACCATAAATACTGCAGCATTCTGCATTAGTCATGGACAGGGGAGAGACACCCAGCAGTACCCAAGGTCATCTTTATATTGAGGAGGTGAGGGGCAAGGCACCGCTGGCACCATAAACACTACAGTGCATTGTAGTGGTTATAGTCAGGGGCGTACCTAGAGCATTTGGCACCTGGGGCGGGTCCTATTTTTGGCACCCCCCATACCCCCCCTCAACTTTAAATATAAAAACAACCACATTTTTTTTTAATGTATTTAACACTAAGCAGTGTTTGTGTGTTTGAATGTATGCATGTTTTTGTATGAGGTATATGTGAGTGAATGTAGCGGTGTGTTTGTAGGTAGTGTTGGCATTTGAATGCAAGCATGCATTTGTGTGTTGTGTGGTATTTGAATGCAGTGGTATGGTTATATATAATGGTGGGGTTTGTATGTAGTGTTGACCTTAAAATGCATGAGTGTATTTGTGTCTAGTGCTGGTGAGATTTTTAGATGTCTGCACATATACACATACACACACACATGCAGATACATATACACACAAACACAGTCACACACAGATACACATTGACACACATGCAGACATCATGGCGACTCTAGGAACAATATATATGGGGGGGCACATAAGATACCACAGTCAAAACAGGAGGGTGAGGGGGAGCAGTAAAACTTCTCACTAGGGGATGGGGTAATATGCTGCCATTGGCTGTCTGATGCCAGCATGCTGTGTTCTGCATGCTGGCATCTGACTACACATTTGCATATAATTCACATTAGCCACCCAGATTTCTTGTTGTGGGCTGGCTGACACCTCTTAATTTCAATCTTTGTTAAGCAGATAACTCCTCTATTTGCTACCCTTTGTGGGATTGCCATATTTAAGGACACCAAATAAGGTGCTATCTGCTAAACAGCACCCTCATTTGGTATCTTAAAATATGGAAATCTCACATACGGGCACCAATTCAGGGAATGATCTACTAAACAGCTAAAGGGTAAAAAAAAACACCCTTTTCTTATTTTCAGTTGTTTAGTAGATAAATCCCTTATTTGTTATCCTTATGTGGGATTGCAATATTTAAGGACAGGAAATAAGGGAGCTATCTACTAAACACATACACAGAGATACACACAATCACAGATATACACACACACAATCACTGACCCACACACATACAATCACAGACACACAATCACATACACACACAAACATCACATACATACACACATTTAATAATTAAGAGGTCCACCCAGCCTCTCTACCTTGCTCTAGAAGGGCTGGAGTGGATCATCAGTCCCTGGTGGTCAGTGGTTGCTGCTGGGATCTCTGTGCTCTTTCTACACAGGTCCATCGCACGCCCTGTAATGATGTCGAGGCCGCGATGACATCATATCCTGGCTGCCGGCTCACTGCAGGGCATAGACCGTCAGACACAGTCAGATGCACACAGTTCCACACGCAGTCACTCACACACAGTTACAGGCAGACAGTCAAACACGCAGACAATCACACAGGCAGACAGTCACACATACACACACAGGCAGACAGACAAACATACACACAACAGTCACAGACAGTCACACACACAATCACAGGCAGACAGTCACCCACACACACACAGTCACAGACAGTCACTCACACACACACAGTCACAATCACTCACACACACACCCACAATCACAGGCAGACAGTGACACACACACGGTGACACACACACACAGTCACAGACAGTCACACACACAATTACAGGCAGTCACACATACACACAACACAATCACAGACAGTCACACACACACACAATCAGAGGCAGACAGTCACACACACACAATCAGTCAGTCAGACAGTCACACACACAGAGTCACACAGACAATCACAGGCAGACAATCAATCACAGGCAGTCACACACACAGTCAAAGACAGTCACAATCACAGTTACACACAGCACACACTCTCTCACTTACAGTAAGCTTGGGCTGGAGGAGGAGTGGATTCAGTCCCTCCTGTGCTGTAGTTGGGGAAGCAGGGACTCCTTCCTGCTTCCCCTCTGTGTGCAGCAGTATGAGGCTGCATTTAGCTCCTCCCCCACATCCGACTTGGCTTCTCCCCCAGGCTGATCTCGCTCCACCCCCAAATCTCCGTGCAGGTTTCCTGCTCCTGCTCCCAGCCCCTGCGTGTGTGAGCTGTGTCGGCTGCCCGGCGCCCCTGCTGCTATGGCACTTGGTGCTGCTATGGCACTTGGTGCAGCCACACAGCTCACTGAACTCCAAGCCTGGCCAGCCCTGATGGCATCCGGGGCGGACCGCCTCCCCCGCCCCCCCCGCCCCCCCCCCTTAGTACCCCCCTATAATATAAGGCTCCTTTGAGCGTTGCTTTAAAGGAGCCTTATATTATACATTTGCCATACATAAAGAACATGTGGTGACCCTGATACTCTCAGCCTCCCGACCCACCGACCCACAGGCAGAGAGGGAGGCAGGAGAGGACCCAGGGAGCTCTTGCCAGCAGCTCCGCCGGGTTCCTCTCACGAGATCTGAGCATGCCGCGGTTACCGCGGCAACGCTCAGATCTCGCGAGACTGAACTCTAGCCCCGCAGGCTAGAGTTCACTCTCACCACTAGGACCACCAGGGAAGGCAGAAAGGATCCCCCTGCCTGGCATAAGGTAACAAGGGAGGGGGGATATTAAGTAATCTGCCCCCACCTCCACCCCCACAAATCACCCAAACATACAGCACACACACACAAATACAGCACACAAACAGCACACACACATACAGTACACATACAGCACACACACATACAGCACACACACACATACAGCACACAAACAGCACCCACACACATACAGCACACACACAGCACCCACACACCCACACACACACACAGCACCCACACACATACAGCAAACAAACATCACCCACACACACACAGCATCCTCACACATACAGCACACAAACAGAACACACATCACCCACACACACACATACAGAACCCACACACATACAGCACCCTCACAAACACACACAGCACACAAACAACACCCTCACACACACACACAGCACACTATCAGTACCCTCACAAACACAAACAGCACCCTCACACAGCACACTAACAGGACCCTAACAAACACACACACAGCACACTACCAGTACCCTCACACACAAACAGCACCCTCAAACACAGCACCCTCACAAGCGCACACACACACAAACACCCTCACCCACATAGCACACTACCAGCACCCTCACAAGTGCAAACACACACAAACACCCTCACCCACACAGCATACACACACACAGCAGTATATGTGTGTGTGTGTGTGTATATATATAAATATAAAACAAAAAATGTGCGTGTGCTTGTGCTTTAGGGTGCACACCCTAATGCAATAGGCTGCGCACGCCTATGCATACACTACATTGCGAGCACACAAACACTACATCCCTTATACACGCACAGCACCACTTACACACACTACATTCTAGACAAACACACACTACATCCCTTATATGCACTTTGGATCTCCTACAAACACATTGCACTATCTACACACACACTACATTCCAGACACCAGAGACAAGTCACAAGCAAACACAGCGCAAATGTGTCAGTAAATTTGCTTGTGCTGTGCAGAACAAATCCAGGGCATTTTTCTCATGTGAGAGCTCTTCAGCTGGGCCCTGTATACGGTTTGCCCTGGAAGAACATTGAACCAACATGCTCATTTTGAGAGGGGGCGTTCTTGTCACTGGGCCTCTGTGATGAAAATAAGCTTGGAATGGAATGTAGTGTTTGTAGACCATGTAATGTGTGTTTGTAGTTTATATATATATATATATATATATGTATATGTTTAGGGTATTTAGTCCTATTGTAAATCCAGTGTATGTATAGTGGATGCAGTCTATGTTTGTGTAAGGAATGCAGTGTGTGAATTTGAGACAGGATAGGGATTGTGTTACGTGGGGTTAAGAAGAAAGCAGTTGTATGTATTTATTATTTTATTTCAGGCCAGGGAGGGTAAACACGACATTTCTTGGTGTTCCATTGATACTGGCACACGGCCTTCACTTCCGCCAGGTGCAGGCTCTACTTTCAAGCCTAGGCTGGTATTGTAGCATTGTGGTATCAGCTCATTGCTGTAGTAACCCATGGCAATGTACTGACAGGCCACGGCTTGTGAGAGAGAGGACTCGTGGAGGTGCAGACTGAGAATCTCCTGAGCTCCCCCTCCTGCAGCAGAAGTGTGCAATGGTCCATGGACCATCATCTTTGATCTCCTTTGCCTGCGGCTGTGTGTGTGTGTGTGTGTGTGTGTGTATGTATATATATTAATATATACCCCCCAATGGCAGCCCTGATGACAATTTCCACCTCGTTCTGGCAAATGTGTCCAAACATTTTACCCATCTAATTAAGGTCAATAACCATAGTGGTCTGTCAATGTTTTACATTTTCACTGCACTAGCAGAAGACATGGCACAAGTTTCTTATTCATTAACCTGTTTGAAATTGGGATCATGCAAGCTAAAAACAGAATGCTTGATCAGCTGATATGGTAACACCAATTAGTGTAGCCAACTCCTTATGCAGGCCAGATATATACTAATAAATGTATTGATATATTTTCAAATGTTTGTTTCTGGCCTGCATTTGGTAATACTATCTATATTTGTCTCAGTGAAATCCTGAACTATGTCTTAATGTTATAGGGGCCCAGTCGGCTCTTAAAAGGCTGCGGCAACCGACCGTGCCCCTGTTTACTGAGTATTATGGGGGGGACGGGCGCAGATCATATACAATGTGTGTGCAGAGTGTGCATCTGTGTGTGAGTGTGTGTATCGGTGTGTGAGTGTATGTGTCAGTGTGTATCTGAGTGTATGTGCAAGTGTGTGTATCTCAGTGTGTGTATATGACAGTGCGTGTATCTGTATCAAAGTGTTCATACATGTTTGATGGCTATGTAGGTGGGATATCTGCTGTACCTTCTCCAAAAAATCCAGTCCTCTGTTACTTGCTCTATGATTTGCCAGATGCACAATCATGGAGCAAGTAAAAAAAATGCCAATTCTTTTATTTTTTTTATTTCTACAATATGCACTTTCATCGCTTCCACATAGGCAAGAAAGTTAAAACTCAGATTCAATGGGATCAATAAAATATTTAGATGAAGCAAAAAAAAGTATGGGATCCTTGTATATGTTAACAGTGAAATAATTGAATCTGTATGGCAAAAATGGTACAGCAATGGGAGGTAAGGTTGTCAGCCACCTTGGTCAGTATTTTCTTCAATTTTTAGAGCACAATATGGGAAATATGGTTGTCTACTTATGAAAAGCTGTCATGAAAGTCAGACAAGTGGTGGATGTGACCTAAAAGCTCTGATGACTACTCTGCAATGTAGAAAAGGTGGTAGGGTTTTGCAAAGCTCATCATGTCTCTACTGAGTGGTCAGAAGGTTTTGCATAGTTCATATAGGGGTGCTATAATCCTAATATGAGTATTAGAAGACAGATGTACATATGTGGTGTTGTTTGTGGGTGCTGTTTGACATCATGATATCAGTGCTAAATCAGGCTATTATCGACACTGTATTAGTTATATATGTGTTTGGCGGATGCTACATTTGTGGCTGTTAGGTAGTTGCTGGGTGTTCTGATGGCATTGGCATTCCATGTAAACTGTAAACTGTTAATAGCTCCCAACTGATTCCTCTCCTGCAACTGTCATTTTAGAAAATTAACAAAACATACTTCAGTGAATACTATTCTACCAATCTAGAATCTTCTCTACTCCTACCATTACCTTTTGTGTCACTGTAATAACAATAATGTAGTTTGTGGTTGAATGTGAGAGGGTTGCTGGGTAATTAAGAGTGTTTGCTTATACACCTAGAGCACCACCTATTGTAATTATATCCGTCTTCTATATCTATACCTAGTGTGGTGATATACTTTCAAATAGTGCTTGGCGTTGAAGAAATGTTGCAGCAAATTACATAATGTTAATTTCCTGTAAGTAGAACGGATTGTGGATAAAATAGGAAATGTGCTTTCTGTGTGTTTTTAACAGAAAGGGAATTCCCACTTAACGGCAATTGTGGCATCTGTTACAGTAAATGTTTTTCTTTTCCAAAGAACCTTCTTAAGAAAGGCTTCATATACTGAGGATTGCCTAATGTTCAGAGTTATATAAAGACCCAGTAGCTTTAAATATGAAAGATTGGACAATAGCATCAACACGCACACGTTTTTTTGTTTTTTTTTAGTAGCCTCAAGTTGTCCTATACAAATTCAGTTTTGCTACACAACACATGGCATGACTGAGAACTTTGAGCTGCATTTGAAACACTTTCCGAAATTTATATCATGTATGCAGAAAAATGTAATGAATGCAACACATTAAACTGATCAGAATTTTTCTAATTTGACTGTTTCGGCGTACAATTTGGCATTCCACAGAAAATTCCCAATTTATTGAAGAAACCTGACAGGGAAACCTCTGTTAGGAAATTTTACATTTACTAATTAAGGCGCCATTTTGTGGAGTATAAAATGGAACCTTTATTTGATATATATTATAACGCTTTACAATGGGTGGACGAACAGACGTAGTTGTAACCAGACAAGTTGGACAAACAGGAACAGAGGGGTTGAGGGCCTGCTCAATGAGCTTACAAGCTAGAGGGAGTGGGGTAATGTGACACAAAAGATAAGGGAAGGATAGAAAAGTAGGTTGCTAGGATAGTATTCATTGAGGGCTTAGAGTTTTGTTTTGATCACAGTTGCAGGAGAGGACCTAATGTGTATATATATAACCCCTAATGTATATATAAATAGATATGAATTATACCTCTGGAGTTTTATACTCTGTTTTGAATACATTGTACATTTGCATTGGTGTAATTATACTCATATTTCTTTAAGGTAGTTTGAACAGAGATTTATCATCAGTTACTGATTCCCTAATGTGTTGTCATACATTATTTTTATGTAGGTTACCTCTCTTGGAAATAAATTAACAAATTATATGGTAAATATATTAGCTATATTGTATCAAATTCAGATTGTTAGTCTGATGAAACATCAATTCACTGTGTGAATGTCAGATGTTTTGTATAGGAGAGAGAGAGAGAGACAGAGACAGAGACAGAGAGAGTGTGTGTGTGTGTGTATTTTTTTTTTTTTTATATTATTTTTTTAAATGTATTTAATTTTTTTTTTCAGTCTGTTCCAGAAGTGGGAAACAAATACTACATTACATTTACAACCAGGGCCCAGAAAAACAATGTAAGTACCTAACTATACAAGGAACTCACTAATGATGTGTAATGCAGTGTTTGGTGAATAAACTGATTTGGTTTCATCTTCTAATAATTTGTTAGGTTAGGAGTAAATATTCCATTCATGTCAGTCTGATCATCTAATCTCATGATTTTAAATAGAAAGGTATAGTCTAAGAAAAGAAAGAATAACAAATGAAATAACACTATGCCCTTTTATGTTACAGATCTCTGTGCTACTAGTATTGAAGGGACACTCCAAACACCATAACCACTACAGCCAGCTGTAGTGGTTATGGTGCTAGGTGTGCTCTGGCTCCATCACACGGTAAGATGTTAAACTGTTTTAGCATGGTTTGGCAACTTACCTTGGACGTTCTTCTATGTAGCCAGGTAATGATCTAGGCATTGTAATAAAGTAACATTTAACGTTTAACATTTAACTTCATATGTAATTATGAGTTTGAAATCCTACGGCTATAACTATTTAGAGAAACCGATTTTTTTTAAATGTCTTATTTATACAAACCAATTGCTAAACATATAGTGATTTTTTTTTTTTATTGCATCTTTTTGCTGCTGTGAAGTTGGTTTACACTGCACACATTCAGGGAACACGCCAAGCCTCATAAACACAGTGTGCTCTAGTGGTTATGGTGTTAGGAGTGCCCTGGCGCAGCACCATTGCAAGGAGTCAAACCAGTTTAGAATGGATTGGCTTCTTGACTGGGCTCTAGATGGTGCAATACCCCACCACCGCTCAATGAGAGCAGGAAGCTCTTTTCACTCAGAAAAGCCTCATGTTGCTGTTGTTCTAAAACTGTTTGACGCCTTTCAATGGGGAGGTGCCAGGGAACTCCTGGAACCATAACCACTACTATACAGTAGTGGTTATGTTTCTTGCAGTCTTCTTTTAACATACCGAACATTCGGAGCTCCTAAAACAAAGAGGGGATTTACCAAGGAAGACCTGGCGATGAGAGAGCCAAGATCTAATTTTATACCAACACAGGTGTCTACTACTCTGCACATAGGATGTGTTGCAGTATGCCATGTTTGATTAAGGTAGAACACGTGCCGATGATGTAAATTAGGTGCACCTTTCCTAAATTACAGCATGCACATTGTTCCAGATTACAGGGTGTTTGGGGGATTGTACATTGGCTTTCACTGCACCTGAGTGAAAGCCTGACAGACCTTTTTATGATTTGTGTGCATTTTTACCTGTATAGGATGATATTAGCTTGTGCTCTGCAACAGTATACTTTCACCAAGAGAACCCACATCCCGCCATATCTGTGACCTGTTCAGGTAATGGAAGTATGATGCAGGCTCATGACGACGATTATAATTTCTACAAGAAAATGAAGCAGCAAACTACCCCTCTTATTGGAAAGAACATTCCCGGTAAGAACTACTGAGACACAGAAATGAAACTAAAGTATAAATAAATCTGTAAACCATTATGTTTAAGTATTGTAGCTGTGTGTGTGTTGTGACTTTCTGTGCGTGACGTATAAAGCTGACTGTGTGTCGCACTGTAAGTGATGTGTGTGGCTGCGTGTGGTAGCTGTGAGTGGTACTTGTAGCTGCTAGTGTAACTGTGAGTGATATGCTTGGGCCGCTGTGAGTGTTGTGTGTGGCAATGTGTGAAATATGGCAAATACATGAGGGAAGAAGTGGAACTACATTTAGTACAAGATGGGAAGTGGAACTAACATTTAGTACAAGATGCCCCTCAGCCCAGTATAGCTAGCTGGAGGGGGTGCTGTAGTGAGTTTTTAAAGGCAATAGTCAGGGGATAGGGTTTGTAGTGACTCTAGGGGTGGTAGTGGGGGGCTGGGAGCTATAGTGTATGTTAGGGAGAGTGGTGGGGTTAGGAGCTATCTTGGGGGATAGGGGCTGAAGTGGGGAATACGGGCTGTAGCAGAGATAGGGCATGTAGTGGGGGAATAGTGTCTGGAGTTGGAGTTAGGGGCTGTAGTGGGGGGTGAGATGCTCTAGTGCGGTAGAAATAGATTAGTGGCTGTGGTTACGGGCTGTAGTGGGGGGTAGAAGTGAAAGTGTTGGAGTTAGAGGATGTAGTGTGGAGATAAGGGGTTGTAGTAGGGGGTTAGGGGTGTTAGTGCGAAATAGGAGCTGTAGTGGGGGGACAGAGGCTGAAGTTGGAGTTTGGGGCAGTAGTAAGGGTTTAGGAGCTGTTATGGTTTGGGGCAGTAGTGGGGAGCTTGAGGTTGAAGAGGAGGGTTAGGGGATATAGTGGGGCAGATAAGGGGATGAGGGGAAGATTAACATTTTTTTTTTTTAATTAAACATAATATTAAATAATGTTTATTCCCTCTTCCCTGAGACTTTCAGGAGCAGGAAATGCAACATGTCTGCTTCTTCTTGCCAGCTCTAAGAACTGTATTAGTGCGTTGCCATGGTAACTCTAATACAGTAAAAGGAGCAGAGAATTTGGCCTGGAAGAAAAGGGCCAACTTTTCCCTCCTCCCCGGCGTGTGACCACAGCTAGCACTTGGCTTTTGGGGAAGGAGGACATAGCGCTTGTAGGGGAGACCTTTTGATCTCCCTGCTGGCTTGTTCATCAGTCAGCTCTCCGGCTGCATTAGGGTCTGTCTAGGCACACTCTGTGCATGCTCCTATGCCCCGAGATAAAGAGGACATGCTGGAGGAGTAAGTCAAATCTGGTGAATATGCCAGTTTATTAAATCCTTCTGAGATACAGTTCTTCCCATCACCCTTAACATTTGTGGCACATCTTCTCCAGAGTAATCAGCCCTAATATTGTTCCATCACAAACATGTCTCCTAAATGATATAAAAACTCCTTGCTAGGGATACTCCAGTATCCAAATACAAAAATAAATAAAAATCATTGTTTAGTAGATGTGTCCCCAATGAAAACATATATGCATTTAATTATGCATATTTTTACTGCAGGTATATCTAAAAACAGCTTCCAAAAGCTGCTGCTCTCTTGTCTGCAGACTTTCCAAGCCATCCCCTTTTAACCCAGGCCAGATTTTCTGCAACTGTCCACTTCAACCAATAAGTATCATTTACAGCCAGTGGGGTGTAAGAAGGTTAATATATAAAAGTTTACATTTCTCTTGAAATCGTCGCTTTTTTAAAATGGAAAAAGAGGTTACACTCCTTACGCAGGAAGCTTTAGGGGTCTGAAGTGTCCCTTTAATGTTCTAATGTAAACTCTGTTATTCCACTATATTTAAAATAGTAAATTTCTCCCACTGTAGAAAATTGGATGGAGGCGCTACTTTTAAACTCCTAACAAACATTTGGCTTTATGAGGATATATAAGAAAGTTTGGGAGGTCTGGCTAACCTATTCAGAGTGTTTAACTTAGTATTTTTACACAGCTAGCCATCTTGTCCCGACATCATAGATATAGACTTTAAAAGTACACTATAGGCACCCAGACCTCTTTGTTTCATTGAAATGTCTGGATGATGTGCCTCAGTCCCCTTAACCCTGCAAGTGAAAACATTTTACAGAGAAACTGTAATGTTTACATTGCAGGGTTAAACAACCTCTAATGGCTGTCTTCCAGCCACCAGAAGCGCTTCCTGGCTTTTCATGCTTTGCATAAGGACGTCTAACACCTTTAAAATCGCATGCGCAATAGGTCCGCCATTGGCGTGACATCACTGGAGGAGGAAAGCGATTAAGGCATGGACCTAAAGTTAGAGACATGGGCATACTATAGCATTTGGAATGCAATTTTGAATTCCTCATGCTATAATGTTCCTTTGAACAGTCACTATTTCATCAACTATGTTGGGCTTCACATGTACATTTCCTTCCATCTATATCTTCTGTTTTCTAGAGGGTTTTTCCCCCAGTTTTGTTTTCTTCTTGCTCAGTCTGTAGAATTGTTAACGTACTTTGTATCTGTTACTATGAACAGTTCTTTGACGCAACTCCAAAAAACTAACCATCAACATGAGTTACTTCTATTTGATGTAAAAATACATTTTAAAAATGTCTGATTTGAGCTTGGTTAAAAAAAAAAAAGAAAATTGTTTTAACCTTGGAATTGGGATTTTAAATTCTGTAACTATAAATTCTGTAAGCTGAATTAGAAGAGAGGAATTCACTAAAATGGTAATTTTAGTACATTAAAAAGAGAAATGCAAACTTATCACTTCTCCAAAAATTAAGGTTTCATGAATAAATACCATTGAGTTTAGGAAAATAATCATGTTTGATGCCCCTGTAGTAAAGTAATGGTGGGAATTACAACATTGGGCCCTGAGCCTGAGGGGGCTTGTGATCGTTTCCCTGAGATCTCAAACTGTTTCTTCACCCTAGACTTGTCCCTGGATTGTCTATCCCAGAGGTGCAAGGTATGCGTCAGGTCAGAACGCCACCTGTCCCTACGTTATGTTGGCTGTGTATGTCTGGTAGATTGATGTAACAAATGCTTTCAGTATGAGTCCATTTAGTCTGTTGTTTCTTGTCCCTGCAGACAGCTTTGGAAATGTGGAGCCTGAATTTGTGCCAATTTTGGATCTTGCTGAATTGGGAAGTAGTTATGTAATGTGGGACAAAAGCACAGAGAAACTTGAATACGTTCTGCAACAAATCAAGAACGTTAAGCAAGTGGTAAGAAGATGAATACAAAGTAGAACATCTAGCAATGACTCTTGTCTTACTTATAATGCCGGGAACGGTGGCAACATTTTGCAAAGAAAGACTGAAATGAAACAATACTGTAATATTATTTAGGATTTTTTTATGGTATATAATGCACCTCCATTATCTGATGATGACGGTCATATAGGTTGGAATTTTGGTAAGGTGCTTGAGTATATGCACCTCCTAGAAGGGTGGACGGAGAAAGGCGGTGTTGGTAGGACCGCAATCCATGTTATTCTGCAAAAGACAGTGGTTAAGCAACACATGTCAATAACCCCAGTCACTTCATTTATTTGGGAGGATAGTTCATTTACAACTGTTGATAGGTCAAAGGCACACGTGCCCTCATTGCCACCAACCATTGGAAGACAGGAAGCTGTATGGAAAGCAGTAGTCCTACATAAAGAAAATACTAGGCCTAACTGGTCTTAGGGTGTATATGTAACTATAGAGAACACGTTTACAATGTGCCCATCCTTTCCTGGGACACGGGGCAACACAGTGCAGCAAAACAAGGTCCATCTCATGGACACTATGTCAGATGACACAGTAACAGGAGATCTATCACATAAAAAGGTCCTAATCAGCCTATTGTTCCTGTAACATTTTGTAATTGTATAATTTATTATTACATTTTTCCCTTTTATAATATTGTATAACGCTGTGGCATTAGTTGCCGCTATATAAATGTCAATAATAATAAACCAGTGTTGTCAGGCAATTTTTATCACATGACAGAAAATACAGGGTTTATGGCATTAATGGATAGCCAGTAACAAACAAACACTTAAAGGATCTAGACAATCTAGACAGGGCAAGGGGGTTACTGATGTATGTTGCCGCCGTGACAAGAAATAGGTTTGTAGAAATAATTATTGCCCTCACTTGGTATGTGAAAAGTACAATGTTCCGTGGCATTACTAATCCAGTGAATGTGAGATTTTTTTTCACCTTTACTATATTATCCAATTAAAATGATCAAGAACATTATGATAAATTATATGTTAATTGTAGTTTAGTAGCAGCAAGTGCTCGAACGTTAGATGTGTGTACCTCTTTACCTTCATTATCATTTAAATATATGTCTGCAACCTATAACTTTCTCTATTCTGGTGGGAAGCTAAGTAACATTCATCAAAACCAACTCTAACTAATTTGTTCTGTTTCTTCCCAGATCCGAAAGGATGATTTAATCTCATTCGATTATGATGTCCTTCTGTACGAAACCCCAAATGAGGTAAGGATGTAAAACATTTCTAAAATGTAATAAACACTACAGAAAGCAAATTAAAAGTCATGATGGATTTTAAATATCTGCCTATATGTAAATAAACATATATATATATATTTCTATTTAGGAAATGATATCCTGCAGCCTGCATATCATTTGGGTTCCGGGGAAACCACCCAAAGTTGAATACCACTGTTCACACGACTCTGATGAAAATGGATCAGGTAGCACATCAGAAGAAGGATCAACTTTCTTGGGAAATTTCAAATAAAACATTAAATATGGGTTTATAAACAATAAAAATAAATTTAAAAAAACTAGATAAAAGTATGTGAACATTATACTTCTGATAATCAGTGTGAAGTTATAGCCACTATAGTAAATGAATAAGAGAAGGGTAACTCCACCTACTATTACACGCACTTACTATGTAATGTCCAGATTTACAGGACTCTAGTTCTGTTTCATTACTATATATATGTATACATATGCACTGCTTGCTAGAAGCCTATATATCTGGGCGCAATTCAAATAGAGCAGACCATGCCAAGCATCATGGTGCCCTTAAAATAAATAAATAAGCAATGGTGAAAATGCAAAAGAAATATCCCCCTTCCCACGTTTTTTATTTTTAATGTCTCATTTCTTTTAAAATTTGTGGAACCCAGCATTAATTAATGTTTATTTTAAATGTACTACCCACAGCACTTAAAGTGTATAACGAACCTAGTGCATCATGTGATTTACATTGTAAAGTGTTTAATTTAGAAGTTTATTTTAATCCTCTTAATGGCAAATACATTTGTAATGTTTCAAGTTGGTCCATCTAACTCTAAAGGGTGTATTTCGTGTACACCCTCGCCTTCCCCGATGTTTCCAGAATATATCTGGTGCTGGGTTAAAGGTGGAAACTCACATTGAGATGCCTTTGGCTGGCTGTGAGTGCTGTAATTGCAGTCATACAAGAACTTGACACTACAAATTAGTCAGTCCTGTTGTATAGAGTTCACAGATATCTGGAATTAAAAGCACAGTGTGTAGAAAGATTACTGTTTAGAGCACTTTATGTAAATGTAACAGCCATATGTGTTTATTAAAAAAAAAAAGTCTAATCTATTTTTTCATTAATTTTTACAAAATAAAGCCACTTGTAGTTGTAAACACTTGTCAAAAAAGTGTAAAAATAAAATGTCCACTATTTTAATAAAGATCAGAATTGCATACTTTTTCATTTATGTATCTACCATTAACTTTTCTCATTTTAAATGTTCAAAATCACTTGAAACAGTTCAACAATCACAGCTTGTATACACTATATTTTGCTTTTTTTTATCCATTGGATCCCAAACTAGTCCAGTGGATGCCCCCCTTCTAGTAAATATATTGGGGATTTTTAATTACATAGTTTTTATTTAATTCTTCAGTAAATCTATGGATATGATTTAAAAATATAACACTCTGACATATATTGAATATACCCATGCTGCACACTTGTCATGCAATATTGTGACATTTTATTTAAATTTAGGACTGTATTTGTCACAGAACTAACAGTTGTATTAAAATATGCCTGCCTGTGACGGAATTTACCATCGCTGAGACCATAAACTCTGCGCTACTCTCTCTCAGCTATTTTAGGAACTGTTGGCCTCCATTTTCGCCAGAGTTGCTACACCTTCGCTTGGTATTATGTGTGACTGGGTTTGCTGTTGGGAGTTATGGAACTGTCTGTTTTTGTATGTCTGACACCTCTTGTGATTTCCTAGATGTTTCTTATGTCTAAGTCACCCTGTGCCCATTATAGGCGCAGGCTGTGTATTATAGATAGGTTATGTGTCACATTGTCTTATGTGCTCTCCTGTCCTGCTGATGCTCTCTACCAACCACATGAACTTGGCTGTGGAGCCTGTGCAACGCCAACTGATGGTTGTTAAAGATCTTGTATGCCTGTACAGTGCCATCGGTTGGTTATCTTTTACCTTCAGAACACCTTGGATTGATCATTAGATGACTAATGACCGACTGTACTGTCTATTGTGGCCCAGAACGAGCATTCCAAGCTGCTAATTGCAAATCTATGCATGACAGGTGTCCGTTGTCCACATGCAGGTGATGGACAATTAATGGTGACAGCCCCTCCCTTTGTCTGGTCTCCATGATATCCCTACACTTGTAGTGTCAGAGGTGACCATACTGCTGAAAGAACCTGGCTTTACCATGGGATTGTAGGCAAGTTTTTCCTTTTCTTTTGCCAGAAAGGGTTACTTTAACCAAAACCAGTGTTATTAAATCACTGTGTTTTTTTTGGTTGAAATAGCTCTTTAAGTGAACAAGGTAGAAATCTACTTTGTATTCTCCTCTCCGGAGTCTAGAGTTTCCCATAGTGTATGCCCCTTTGGATGGATGCCCTAGAAGAAGTTTGACTTTTTTTCTGGTGGCCATGAAACTTCTTAAATTTGTAAAATTTGTGAGTGCACTTTAGCTATACAAAATATCCAGGACACAGGATTTAGGATTAAAGTTTCTAATTTCTTCTTCCCTGGTCTGTGCAACCACCATCAGTGAACTCACTAAATCAACAGCCAAACAAAAAAGTTTTTGCTCCAAAAATGTAGTCAAAGTAACCGTAAATACCCCCCCAAAAAAAGAATACAGCAACTGCAAAAATCAGTGAATGCCTTTTATACCCTCACGATAAGCATGCTCGTGCTACGGCTGTTTTTTGTTTTTGGAACGTTTTATTCTCTTCCCTAGAGTCATATGATTGGACTACTTTATTGTTGCCTTTGTGCATTTTGAACATGCCCAACTTAATCACTTGTGTGACTTGGGACAAGAAACAAAGTATTTGGGTGGACCCTCCTTCCTTAAAAACAAGATAGGTGACACATGTTCAGTTATAAAATATATACAAAATAGCATCCATTCATGTCTCTGATACATTTACATGAATTATACTTAAAATACAAAAAGTGTTGTATTCACAAAACCTTTGTTTATTATTTGTGTCACAGACATCCATTCACTGTGCTTTCTACTTTGATGGAGGCAAATTCTCATCTTTCAAGTCATGCATTGATAACATCATCTCACACCACACAAAATATGGTAAAAAAAACAAAAACCAAAAACCCTATTAACAGTTTCTCCAAAAATATACTCTGTATATGCATCTACAGTACTCACTGAAGTCATCGATTTTAAATAATTTAAACCTTAAAGGCACAGCACACCTTAAAATATCTGATATTATTAGAGTGTATTGTTTTGGACTAGCGCACTTTAAGGTGCTGCTTTATTTACATCATTTTTTTTATGTATTTATATCTCAAAGCTGTAGCACAAAAATGTGAACAAGGAGAAAACTGCATATATAAGAAACACTTAAAAACACCAGGAATTTCAAGGCACAGTTGAAAGGACAGCTTCCTAGTGGCATTATTAGTAATAAGAAGTTTTAATGGTTATATTGCACTTTGAAGTGTTCCTTTACCTCTTCTAAAAACAGGGGCTGGCAATCCACAGCTCTCTATGTGATGATATACACCATAACTCCCATGATCCTTCATAAAATTATCATGAAAATTCAGTAGTTAGCAAAGGTCAGACATTGTGTTCACTACTTAATATAGCATAAGTGGATTAGAGAATTACACTAGGGGAGGGAAACAAGAATTATAAAAACAATAGAAGACCTACAATAACATGCAGACATTAGGATTTGCCTCACTGGGCCTACTAAATTTATCACTCCTTACCTTAGGACACCTGTAATATTTATTTTATTTTTTATAAAATTGTATTTGAAAATAGCAATCTAGTTAACGTATACTTTTGTTTATTTTTAAGAAACCCTTTTCAGTTTATTGAAATTTATAAAATCACATTGCTGTATCTAAAACACGCCACAACTCTGCAATATAACAGAGAAATGAAGCTGGAATGTGTATATCCTCAGAGAAAATAAGACAGAAAACAGAAAAACAGTCCGACAGAAACACCCAATTTTATCGCATTGTTTGGCAGACCTTTTGCTTGTAAAAGGAAATAAATAGTTTCACAGGGATTCTTCATAAACTATGTCATTATTCAATTTACAATTAGTAATAAATTCAGAATAATAATACACAAAACAAACCCACCACCTCACAAGAAAATGAGGCAATTCAGGGCTGTGAAATACATCCTAATGCCTTCATAAACATGGGTGTGTGTATTGCATGACAGGAATCCAATAATCTTACAATTTATTAAACTTGCAATGACCTTTGAAAATTTTGTAATGGCATTTACATAAGGTAAAATAATGTCCATTGCACTCCCACACAAAATCTGCTTAAAATTAAAGTGCATTCCCGGGGTATCTCACGTATACTCCCTCCTACAATCACAAACCCCAGGGGCGACGCCAATATTTATGGGGAAATGGGAGGAGTCTTTGAACCAAACATTTAGCACCACAGAGTGGGAAAAGATCTGCAACATCACACACCATTGCTCGGTTTTCAGCAAGAGTCAGGAGACAGCCTACAAATTACTTGCACAATGGTATCGCACGCCTGACACGATACACCACATACACACAGGTGGGTCCCGTCTCTGCTGGAGATGTGACAAGGCGCTAGGCACACCCCTACACATATGGTGGGAATGCGAGCAAATACAAACCTTCTGGCGCACTATTCACAAAATACTATCTCGATTCTCGGACAACCCACCAGCACTAGAACCAGCAGCCATTCTACTCCATCACACAAAAATCCCAACGTCCAAATACAAAAAATCACTTACGATTCGGAACCTCAACATAGCAAAACCGACTATCCCACAGTTCTGGAAGAAAAAAAAAAGAGACCCCGTCTATGCTCACGTGGTTTACCCAAATGGAGGACCTAAGAGCAATAGAAGAACTCACTATGCACGTGGCTGGACCGCAGCAGCAGACATACCTCGACATCTGGACACATTGGATACTAACAACAACCAAATCTGACTTCCAGACACTAATACAAGGCTAGCTTACCGAAGACACACGACAGACTGACCCAGAGACAGAAGACTAACCCTCTCCCTCCTTCCTCACCTGACCCTATCCCCGTGTTTCCAACCCACCCCACACACGCCTATAAGAGAGGAGCAGGTCCATGAACAGGAAATATAGCGGACTAGTGATCTCCGGGTATTAAAAAACAGGTATACCCACACACCGAAGTACAGGGCCACTACAATGGGAGGGGAGTATACGCCACTACAATGGGGAAAATTGGGGTGTACCCCAAATCCACATATAACAGAAATTAAGCTATCTACCCACATAATAAGGTTGCCTAAGGGTAGCAAGGGACAAGCAACCACGAAAGGATCACCTGTACGCACACCAAGGCGTAAACCCAGAAAGCAACATACGATACACAGACACTGACAGCATACATGGCATGGGACCTGCGAGTCTACTCATGACACAAGGGCCTGTGAGCCCAAACGCATGATATTGTCAGGTTATCTAATTCAAGGACCTGCGAGTCCGACGTCATGGAGGGCCTGTGAGCCCAATCGAATATTGTGGATACACTACAAGTATATGGGACCTGCGAGTCCAGTCCTATGGCGGGCCTGCGAGCCCAACCCCAAAAATGTATCTGTTCAACTGGTTTCGATTCCTAAATCGGTTATTCAAATGAACGAATAAAAATCATATTTACAAAAAAAAATTAAAGTGCATTCCAGGCGAAAAAGTCATACCAATGAAATGTCTTGGTGGTAAATGCTTAAATATTACGTGTTGAAATCCAATGGAGTCTGATCCAAAGCGGCAGGTGGGACACAGAAAATAAAAAATCAAATCTTTGCATTTAAGTTTGTGTTAGAAAACATGTCTGTTATAATTATGCAGTTTCCATTCTCATCACTAATGACTGGAGAGATACAGCTGCATTTGAACAAGGCATGGCATCTCATGAAGTTAAAGGATCACTATAGGGTTAGGAACACAAATATGTATTCCTGACCCTATAGTGTTAAAACCACCATTTAGCCCCCCTGGCCTCCATAAATATAGCAAAATCTTACTGTATTCAAGCCTGAAGCTGTAGATCTGCATGCTGCTTGCCTCAGAAAAAAAAGCTGTCTGCTGACATCATCAGAAGTGGTAGCCTGATCCAATCACAGTGCTTCCCCATAGAATATGGCTGAGACTGACAAGGAGGCAGATCGGGGCAGAGCCAGCATGATTCAAAGACAGCCCTGGCCAATCAGCATCTCCTCATAGAGATGAACTGAATCAATGAATCTCTACGAGGAAAGTTCGGTGTCTGCATGCAGAGGGTGGAGACACTGAATGTTTGGATGCATTTTAGGCAGCCATGACCCAGGAAGGATCTCTAACAGCTATCTAAGGAGTGGCCAGTGAAGTTATCGCTAGGCTGTAATGTAAACACTGCATTTTCTCTGAAAAGACATTGTTTACAGCAAAAAGCCTGTAGTTGTTCTGGTGACTATAATGTCCCTTTAAGAGGGTAAAGCCCTATAAGTCATCACCCCACCATCTTCAAACTTTACCAGCCACCACTGTTCAAAGGGCTAAGTGACAGGACTGACAGCAAGGTCAACCCAGACCTTTACTCTTCCAAAGTACCAACAAATTAAAGCGGCACTGTCATCTATCTCCCCCACGCAAAATTAGTATTTCATGCTCTGCACGAAGACACTGAGCTCTCCCCATAAAGATTAATTGATCTCTATGAAGAGATGCTGATTGGTGCAGTGTTTAGCCACGCATGCGCAATAGCCTCCCAATGCATTCCTCTTGTCACGGTTGATGATCAACAGTGGTGAAAAAGTAAGTAAAATACCTTTAACCCCTTAAGGATCAAACTTCTGGAATAAAAGGGAAACATGACATGTCACACATGTCATGTGTCCTTAAGGGGATAAACTCCTTACTGAGGGGGGCCAGATACCTAAACTGGTACTCCAGCTCTGTAGTGTTAAGAATACATGTTTGCAGTCATAACATTATAGTGTTCCTTCAAGTGTTTATTGTGCTTGGAGTAACACTTTAAGCAGACCAAGTATGTTCAGGCAACCTGATTTGATTGGAGATTTAGTAAGTCATGCACAAAATGCAAGTGGCCAGAATAGAAGAAGAGGGGGTGACAAAACAAAGTCAATACTGTAGATTTTGTGCCACAATAGTTTATTTTAATATATCTTCACTGCTCCAAAAAAAAAAAAAAAAAAGTGTTTTTCTTATCTAAAGGGAAACTATAGGCACCCAGACCACTTCAGCTCATTGAAGTGGTCTGGGTGCAGTGCCCGGTCACCCTTAGTCCTGTAATGTGAAAAACTGGAGTTCAAGGTAAACTGTAATGTTTACATTGAAGGACCAAGACTGCCTATAGTGGCTGTCAATTAGACATCTACTAGAGGCACTTCCTGGTGGCTGACTTTTGGTTGCCTGACACTGGACATCCTCATGCTCTGCATAAGAACATCCAGCTTCAGTAAAATGCTTTCCTATGGGGAGGGCCAGGTGAGGAGGTGGAGCTGCAACCCAGCGTCGAGGGAGATCGGTGCTGGAATCGGGTGAGTAAACATAGTTGTTTTTTTTAACCCTTTTCATGACAGAGGGTGGGTGGGCTAGAGGGAACTTTAGTGTAAGGAATACAACTTTGTATTAGTTACACTATAGAATCCCTTCAAGTGTTGCACTGTGCAATTGCGAGTGGCATTGTTTTAGGTCTGCTGTGTCTGTTTTCAATGAGAAGAGAAAGGAGAAAAAAAAATTAAAACTAGACTGGTGTCCTGAGGCCATTTATATTCTTTGTTGGATCTATCAAATATTACCAGAATGGAAAAAAACAAAACAAAAAAAAAACATGCATTTTCTATGCAGCCTATGTATACATTTTCTCATGCATTAGACCAAATAAAATAAGCCAATTGAGTCAAAGCATTTGAAGAGCAAGATGTTAAACCTTTATGAGGTTTTTTGAAGGTGAAATAGTAGCCGTACAAGTCTAGTGATGAAGTGAAATAATAGATAATTGTAGCATCTTATAATACTTTGTATTGGACAAACGGAATTTTGGAAAGATTATTCTGCATAAGCATGAAATCATGAAGAGAAAAAAAAACCACCTGCATTAAAATATATATTTTTTTTATTGTATTTTTTTACGACCCTCTGGAAAAAAATCCTTTATTTCCCCCCCTACCCTAATCAGACCTCAGTATTATCTGTTCTTATTTTGTTTCAACTAATTTATCACAACTCAGGTTTGTAGATTTTTTTAATTTAGAAATTTGGCTTTTTGGATCTTTTTCCAAAATCCTTGAGCGGTAAAGTTAAAGTTCTGCAAGCAGTTCTGGAGGAGAGGTGCACCAAGCACTGGGAAGAGCAGACAGGCTAGTAGAGGAAGATGGAGTGCCACAAAGCCCTACACAGAGGGTACAGGTTGACAGAGTACCTCACTAACCAAAACAAAAGCAGACACCAAGTATTGGGAAAATGATCACTAGCTGGCAGTAGAGAGCTGCAGCTCAAATCCAAATGGAAACCACAAATAGCCAGGAAGTATACAATGTGACTGTGGGGAAATAGAAACTGAGATCCATTTTCTCTTGTACTGTGCTAAATGCAATTCTGTAAGGTATAAATACCTCCATGTAATAGCAGTAACTGACGGTCTTCCCAAAAAAATAAATGACAGGAAAAACTGTACACTATACTGGGAGAAAATATGTTACAAACGAATAAAAAAACGTTGTTTCATGTTGATTTAACGTGTAAACGCTGCTGTTACATGCCACAGAAAGCAGACAGCTCTTTTTCTTTTACTTCCACATTTCTAGTAAGAAAAGAAAGCAATAAATGTTTGTGTTCTGCATCTTGTGACAGGCCAGACATTTGGCTTTTGCTCTTCGTAGGTTACTCAGGAGATCATTCACAATGAAAATAATCAGAAAAGCATCCGTTACAGGGCAGTACACAGGAACATTAATGACAGATATTCTAAGAGTCTTTCCAAGATTCTTTATCGTTGCAACACACGAATACATTCAAGGGGTTTTACAAAAACCAGAAATGTGAACCTTCCATGCCTACTTCTGATAGGGAACTACTACCAGGAAACAATGAAATAGCTGATTTTCAAATTCAGTTTCCTTTTTCCAGAACTCCTTAGCATATTAAAAATTGATAGCGGAAAGATTGGATCTTCTGTCTGATGTCATGTAGGATAAAAGACAGTCACTATCAGAGTCTCAATCTAAAGCGTGTAATGAGCTGGGTTAGCTCTTAGCCTTTCCTTTCCTCACTGGAAGCTGCCCTGTTGCCTCCAGATATTTATTGACCAGTTCTTCTTGTGTAATGGGCAGGCATGGCTGATATCTGTTGTATTCCATTGTGTATTCACCTTTTCCCTACAATAGAAAAGGAGGGAGTACAAAATATAAATAACTTTAATTTTAGATTGAATTCAGTATGAGATAGATAAATGTTTAACATATGACATATCCCTTACAATGCATGGGTAAAGAAACGCTCTGAACACAACTCATATTCATGCTGTATTTTCCCCCGGTTCAAAACTCTATTTAAAATAAATACATATTGGTATTTTCTGCAGCATATGTAACACAGCAACGTTAAGTAATTGGGATAACCTTCGTTGATAAGAGTAGAATTGCACACCTTTTTACTTAGTAAAGTCTCTCCTATTAGCACATTGCACAGTTACATATAAAGTATATTACACTATGAAAAATCTAATTTAATCTGTGGGCATAGTCAAGTTAATTAATGAAAGAATCACCTTTTGCCTCATTATTCCACTTAAAACATGGATTCCTTGGAGTTTATGTTTGCTGTATACAACAGGTTTGAAACACAACTAAGGAAGAGATGCAAAGCCAGTGAACCACTCATGGACAGCTGTATCTTTGTTAATGCAAATCATCAGCATGAGGTTGGTTACTGACTTGCTATCGAGGCTTGGCGTTACTTGCAGAGCGCAAACCAAGAAAGTTATAGTGCGGGGAAAAAAGTGATTGAAAACCCCTCCCACCTTAGTCAGTGGGTAGTCAATGCATTGTTTAACACTGGTATCTGCACACCAGCCAAGCCATAAGACTTGCCTTTTCCACAGATTTCTCAAATTTGCAGTGATGTTTTACACAAACACACACCATGTTTTTATATATTAAATTTTAAAGTTAACAGTTCTAAAACAGCCTTATTCTTAGTAAGGGATGAGTATTTTTTTTTAGCTATGAGGTTATAACTGATACTGAAGAGATTACCTGGCACCTTCAGGATTAAGAGACTTTTTATAGAAACTGCATTTTTTTAAAAACCAAAGGGAATACCATTTCCTATAAGCTGGAAGAAAAATCTGGGGGTCCAGAATCATACATCCCTATAACTCCAGTGACACCAATGTTATCAGGCGATTTGCATTATAATTTTCAAGTGATGTGGGATGCCCACATAAGAGAAGAATGTTTTTGTGCTTTCAAATGTGAGTTCTCATGCGCCATGAGACAGATGACAACATGTCAAACTACTATTAACAAGAAGAGCACTCTAGGGGATAGTGCATGGATACCAGGAACTGACTTGTGAAAATAACTTAAAATCTGATAAAGTGACTAATATATAAAATGAGTAATATGCAAAAATGTGTAAAAAAAGAATGTGTAAAATGTTGGGTACTGTGCCTTTAAGAGCTGCAAAACAAAACAGAAGTGAAGGTATAAATGCTAGGTGACATATAAATGCAGTGAATATGTGCCAAACTAAAAACTAAAAGACGTGCCCATAAAAATGTATGGAGACAGTATGTGTCAAAAAGATGAAGAGAAAAAAAAATATATATATAGCATTCAGGAGACGAATTGGCATTATTCAATCCACATCCATCCTCAGCCAGTCCGAGGGTTTACAACATCTGTCCACTTTCATAAGACTGGTAACAATATCATCTACTGTTCCTGACCTATATTTTTTGGTTTTTATACCTATTTAAGTAATTTTTATTGTTGTTTATAATAAACTGTTTTTTTACTATATCCAGTTTGTTTTACCTTACTTCAGTCTACAGCAATTGATTGACTGCTTTAAATACACAGTCCCAGTCACTTTGTTGCCTTTCTGCTATTATTTGCAACATTGCTATTATTCTTTGCAACACTGTTACTTTTATTTATATCTAGTTCATCATCCAGTGGAAGTGCTATTCACCGTGCACACACACATATATATATATATATATATATATATATATATAGATAGATAGATAGATAGATTTTTCCTTCATCTTTTTGACACATACTGTCTCCATACATTTTTATGGGCACGTCTTTTAGTTTTTAGTTTGGCACATATTCACTGCATTTATATGTCACCTAGCATTTATACCTTCACTTCTGTTTTGTTTTGCAGCTCTTAAAGGCACAGTACCCAACATTTTACACATTCTTTTTTTACACATTTTTGCATATTACTCATTTTATATATTAGTCACTTTATCAGATTTTAAGTTATTTTCACAAGTCAGCTCCTGGTATCCATGCACTATCCCCTAGAGTGCTCTTCTCGTTATTAGTTATAGGTTTTTGTGAATCCCTATTATTTCCAGTCTGAGCGACTTAGTGCCAGTTGAACGCCCTCTCCTCTGTGCACACAATAGGTGTACCAGAACTTTTTATCCCATGTCAAACTACTATGTTGGAACTCTTTCCATAGAAAAATAAAATAAATCAGGTGAATAATTTATGAAATGTTAACACTTTTTTTTTTTTTAAATAAAACACAAATCTGCTTACCTCTGTACATGACCGAAGCTCTGATGCATAGCCAAACATATCATTTAAAGGAACCTGAGGGGTGGAAAAAGAGAAAATCATTCCACTCATATAGCACAACAAAACAAAAGGTTACACAAACTAAATATAGTTAGAACAAATTTGCTGCAATCTATATTTCCACAAATATTAAAAGAAACTAGGAGCATGCTATACATAGTTCAGCCAAGATGAAAATGTTTGTGAAATAAAAGTTACACTAGATGGTTTAATTAAATTGATCGACATGCATGTCAACTTACATCTGCATAGAGAGTGAAATATCCTTCTGATCCATCTTGACCTACAATCACTCCATGCCTACGGTTGATACCAGCAAATACAGGTCCTTGGAATTCAATAGGGGCTACGATCTCCACCGACATTATTGGCTCTAAGATCGTAATAGTGGACCCCTCCATGGCTGGGGAAGAAAGTACATGTTCGTTTCAGACATTGTTATCAATTAAAAAAAAAATGTTTACTTTTGGGGTAAGGGAGGGAGTTTCTTGGCAACTATAACATTTGTGGCATATATAAAAACACACACATATATAAAAACACACATACACACAGATAAAATAGTTAATGAAGTCATACTTGACAGATGTCTGGGACTGAACCATACAATTCAATTTGTGTTTGCAAAATATCTGCCACGTAACAGATGGCTACCTCTCCAGTTCAGGTAAATTATGATGGTGTATCAAAGATTAATTTACAAGTCCATGAAATGTAGTGCTTTCTACATAAAATTCTCTTTTCTAAGAGCATTCAAAGTCTCAGTATGATATATACTGTGTAGGTTACATAACTGTTTTGGAACAGTGCTGCATTTATTCCTGATTAAAAATGTTGCTACTTTTCACGACGTGTTGTTTTCAAAAGTTAAATGTTAGCAGGGGCTTGTAAACAAATAAAAAACCCTCATCAAATTTTACAATCTGAACATGAAAGTGAACAAGCAAAGTGTTAATATGTGCTGCTAAGAGGGGCGGAGCCTGACCTCGACAGGGAGCGGACGCTAATTCACATCACTCTGTACTAATCTCCCTCTAAAGCTCGTTTTTTGGGGGGCTACATTGAGCATCCTGGAGCTAAACGCTCGACTCTCACCCAAGAACCAGACAGCAACGACATATGCTGTTTCTACACACTCCTAAGTCAAAGCGGCAGAAACGCAGATCTGGGGAATAACATCCACGTCTAGGCCTCGATTTGTTAATCGTGCTCAACTGTTTGATTCCTGCAGGAGACCCAGTCTCAGGGACTGCACCAGCACATCTCGGCCAGCGCCCCAGTCTGATATGGGAAGGAAGAACTAGCGTCCCACACTTGAATTGCCATCAGGATCGAGGGATTTCGGGGCCCTACTTCAATGGTAGCCCAGCCCTAAATGGCGCCGGCCTGACAGTCATGCAGCCGCAGAGGCCCAGCCGGAATACTAGCAATCTGACCCAACATTAACCACCGGAGCTCTGTTACTTTGACCCACATAGTGGATGTTTGGCTCTTACTCAGGGTTTCTCCCTCCCCCCCCCCACGGTTAGGTGTACACTAACTGATGGCCTGATATTTTACCTACTGGTAACCCGAATATGAATCTCATGTTAAGTAACAGGTTTTATAACCTAGTCGCTCAGTATACTCTACGGGCTGCATAAAATGTGTCAATGTTTGTCTACCATAACCTTGTATATGCTACTCTGAACTAGGTTGTGTAAATGTATAAACTGCTTTTTCATTCATGTTATACGATTGTACTCAAACCAAACTTTGATATGAGAAAAAATGATAATAAAAACAGAGTGTCAAAAAATATGTGCTGCTACAGAGCAAAAACAATGTGGTATATTGTTTGGTTTCATGACAATAAAAATAAGGTAGCTATTCAATAATCTCGGAATTGTGAAAACAGACCACAGATTTAGTAATATTAAAATAGTTTTTTTTTTTTTTATTGCAATTCCATCATAAATCTTCCACAATCTTTAGGTGACTTAACACTTGACCAGGTTATTTACTAGAGTGAGAATTCAAAGTGAATTTAAAATGTAAGGCAAAGTAGCTGAAATGGAAGGATGGCCAAGTTAGAGAATTTTTCCAATATTATTCAAACCTTAAATTTGAAATTCTCTTTGAACTCTCTCTTTAGTGAATAACCCTGTGAAAGTGTTGTACAGTATATTCGTACAGGAAGGTATGCACAAAAAAATAAATCTCACCTAAAAATACAAAAAAAAATATTAAAACAAATGCATTTTATTTTTGTCTATATCAAAGAGAAGAGAGTTAGTTTGCTCAAAATAGAAGTACAGAATGCCATAATCCACTGCATTACACTGTGCTTTGCAGAGAAATTAGACATAATTATTGCAGAAACTAAAAGGTCTAATCACTTGATAGTGAATGTAATAATAAATGCCAAAACAGATGGTCTGAAAGAAAATCTCCATCTAAGATAAAGTCAAACCTTGTTTTTAAATTTCATTATTATTTTATCCTGGATTTCGCTATTTGGTTTTTAACATAATTGACCATCTTAGGTCTGTACCTTGTTTCAAAGCTCCTTCGCCAGCTCTGATGAAAGAGATTTCGTTGGAATCCACCATGTGATGCGCACCATCCTCCAAAACAAAACGTAATCCTGAAATCTTGTGTCCAGTAAGGGGGCCTCTCTCACAGGCATCCCGGAAACCCTGTATTAAACATGGCAGCAGTTAAAGAGTATACAAGATGCCCCGGCCTGTGCATCTACATTCAGGAAATGTACATGAGAAACATCTGCAGAATAAATGAAACAAGAAGAAAAGGAGGAGGAAAAAAAGTTGACAGTGCCTCTATTTTAATGCAGTAAAGGATGTGCAACTTATGCAGTGACCTTTCATCAATAATAATAATAAGGGGAAATAAGAACATCCCGCATTGTGAACAGCAACCCAATACATGTGGATGCCTAGAATGCACGTTTAAAAATAAAATAAATTAATAATAATTTTACTTAGTGCAAATCTTCTTGTTTCCTTAATATAGTGGCAGCACCCAGGTACTTTGTAATGCTGGACAAGTAGCCTTGTAAAAAAACTTAAAATAATAAATCAACCCCTCCCACTCACACTTTAAATGTCACTATTCCGCAGACAACCTCAGCAGTCATAACAAGAAAATACTTGTCCAGCATAAGGAAATACATCCTATCTGTACTGCCACTATACGCTAGGAATTTATTATTATTTTTTAAATATTAATGGCAGGGCTTACAAATTTCAACAACAAAAAAAAAGTCCTAGGCTACTAGCCAGCCCTTAAAGGTTACTTGCCACTGCAAGGCTTGAGGTTCCATGGCACACTCGCCAGGGGTAAATTTCCATTACTCAGGGCTAAATAGTCACTTGACAAAAGGCAAATGGAAATTCTGAGCCCTGTTTACGGGAACAAAAAAAAACCCATACATTTAGCTTCTAACATGGTGTAACATTAAATATGAATAGCACAGTATTGAGAAAGTTCAGTCATAATTACATATTGGAAAGGGAAATGAAAAAAAAAGTGAAAAAAATGCTCCAATCATAAAAAAATGTTCTGGTCTTTTACAATCATTAGCAACAATCAGAAAACAAAAAACGTTCAGAGTGCAGGTTCATAAATTAATCTGAAAAGGCTGGAGAAGTAAAAGCTCATTTTATTTTCCAAAAAGTACAGTGAAGTCTGTATATTCAGCTATTGCTTGAATCTTACAACAATCTGAAGATTGTGATGGTGCCTAACAAAAGGGGATGTGAAGTGAGACACACGATATAGCCATTAGGTGGTGCTATAGCTTGCACATCATTCCAGAGTAAAAGGGCTACAGAACAAAAAATGCTTATAATACGGTTCATGCAGAACTTACCTTTTCAACCGCAGGGACAAACTGCTTGGGAACATTTGTTCCAACTGTTCGATCTTCAAATTCAAGTTTAGTGTACTCCTCAGGCTCAAGAGGCTCAACAAAACCAATGACTTTACCATACTGACCCGATCCCCCAGACTGCTTTTTGTGGGTAAACTCAAACCTAGAATAGACAACATACAGTGGCTGTTCATAGTCTGTATATTTTAAACACTGAGTTAGAGATTCAAATTGAAAACATCACAACACCACAAGCTTAGAGTAAGGCAGTATCAATGCTTTAACAAGAGACATAGTAAATAAAATGGTGAATATTTCGGGGAAGGGATTGGGTAGTTTTAAAGGAGCATTACCCTTCACGTTACAGAAGAAATATATACAGACATCCCGCACTTACTGACCAGGTTCCGTTCCTACCACCCGGTCGTAGAATGAATTAGTTGGTAAGTGAGGAGTTAAGGGATTCCCTGCTATAACTCAATGAAGTCGGATGATTAGACTGACCACCACCACATTATGTTTAAGCTGACACTGGATCATAGCCCCTGACACATGCTGCAGGCTGTTATGTTAAGTAAAAATAAAATAAAAGAACAGATATCTGCTGGTGTGGAGGCGCTAGGAGGACAAAGGAATGCAGACTGCTGTATATGTTTGATAAATAAGCCATGAGCCCAGGAGAGTCCCGCCTGAGGTGCCTCCTGAGTTTCTGACCCACACAGTTAGGGACTGGTCTTTCTATATCCGGGAGCTTAACTCTCCATAGTCACCGCCAGAACTGAGAGCAGATGGTTTTCCAGGCATCAAGGAAGGTCTCCCTCAAGCTCTGCACAGTGTCCTTCAGTAAGGTCTCTAGAGGTGTGCTGGTCACCGCCATCTAGAGAAACTCAGCACGCTGCTCCGCTTCAGGATGCGAAAGCACCCATGTCGATTGTAAGTATCAGGGGCTTTTGTGGTGGGTACCGTGATGACCCCCACCGGTCCAAAGGGGGGGGAGGAAACAAGGCTTTCAAAGCAGCCTGCAGGGTCCTGCCAAGTAGGTCGGCCGCAACTCCCAGCTGGTCCCACACTAGGCCGCAAATGGAGTCGGTCGGAGCACCGCTGCTACAAGCTGCTATATGCTTCACCAGAGTGCTATGCGACACCCAGACACCTCCAGGCATCAGCACAGCTCGGATCAGTAAGCTAGGTATCTTGATTGTTGGTGTTTGACTTAATATTTTAGGGAGCTTGCGCAGAATGGGACTGTTCAGCATGGCAGTCAAGCCCATTTGCTACATTTTTTAAATAGAATTTTAAAAGAAAAATGGAGTGTTTCATGAAAAAGTTTCCCGCAACTAAATAAAACACGTGATTTTCAGTGTATTTAGTGAAAAATTATATATACATATGTAATTTCATTCTAACTGTATTTTGTTATTTATTATATATATATATGTAACAAAATACACTTAGAATGACAATCTATATATTAAATACAAATAACCGCATAATTATGTGATTTTATTAATTAAAATGAGATTGACGTGCCTGACATCCCAGGCACAAAGTGCAGAGAATTTAATTCGCAAGCACTATATTTAACCCTGTAACTTTCCAAGACACCATAAAACCTGTACATGGGGCATACTGTTTTACTCGGGATTAGTGTTATAAACACTGGCCAAATATTTGTTTATTGCTTTTTTCACACAAAAACAAATATGAACGCTAACTTTGGTCAGTGTTTGTGACTACTAAAAAAGACTGGATATACCCCACTTGCAATACCTTGGGTTGTCTACTTTTGCAAATGGTATGCCATCATGGGGGTAATTCTCATTCCTAGGCTACCATATGGGCTCAAAGGTAACATTATTAATCTGGCAAATTTCAATGTGAAAAAAACTGAAAAATGAAACATGCTATATTTTACCCTGTAACTTTCCAAAACACCGTAACACCTGTTAATATGGGGTACTGTTTTACTCATGAGACATTGCTGAATACAAATATGTGCATTTTATTGCAGTAAAAGCTAACAGTATTATGATATGTACAGGCGGAACTACAAATTATTTAAAAAATCTTAATTTCTCACAGTTTTTATTTTATTCATAATACATTATTTTTCATATATGAATAACTCATGAGAAATTAAAGCCCTGTTTCTCCAGAACAAAATGATATATAATAAGTGTGGGTGCACTTAATATGAAAGAGGAGAATTACGGCTGAACAGACATATAGCGCAAATACCAGTTTTTGTTTTGATCAGAACGTGCACTATTGACTCCGTCATGAAGGGGTTAAGAGAGGTACTTGAGGCACTTACTAGCTTTGGAATAAAAATAGAAGCTCACATTGATACATCAGAGATGAAGTAAATATGTCTCAATAATGATTGATATTATCATATGACTGCTACAAAATATGAATTGCCAATAAAAATTAAAAAAAAATAAAAAATTGAATTGCTACTTGTAAAAAAAGCACTGAATAACTCCGTAAACGGCAACACTGGAAATTTACAAGATAATGATTCCAGTGTTTATACAAGGATGTTCTCTGGTTCTAAGTTCACTCCTTAGCACAGCAGACAGCTCTACTGCAGTTCTTCCCTGTGACCTCAGGGCTTTGCACACAGGCCGACTCCTGATTGCTTCCTGATTCTGAGCTATAGCTCCTCCCAGCAGCTCTACATGTAAACTCAATGATTGCAGGGAAGGGCAGAACACAATCAATAAGGGCACAACACACATTTACTTTGTGTCATGTCAGAGGTCTAAATTACCAACCACAATGGAAACCATCAATCCGTCTTACTACCCTGCTTCACGAGCAGCTGGTGTGGCAGAAAACTACATAAACTACAAGCTGGGGAGCCCACACAGGCTGTTTCAAGTGAAGCAGGTGACAGAGGCCATCAAGGAGGTAAGTGTGGGATACAGCACATGGATCTCTTTAACCCTATACATCCCTGGGAGCACTCAAATGGGGGCTTTCACAAATTGCATCTGCATCTGCTTTGCCAGTTCGATTCAAAGTAGTGGCTAAGTTTGAGAATTTTTTCCAGATCGGCTCATTTTGGGTCAGTTTTTCCATTCTAGTTGAGTTTGCACAAAACAAAACCCCAAGATTAGTTATGTATATAACCATGAAAGGGTTAAACGATTTTGTGCCACACGCCTTGCTGTCATTAAGGTAATCTTTCCACACAAAGCCACTGCCCTAAGGTGAACTCAAAACAAAAAGGTTATATCCTGCAAACAAAGATGAATCTGGGTTATTTACTAAAGGTCAAACAGCCAAAATGTGGTGATTTTTTTCTTCTTCCAATTTAGCCATTTCGTCCTAACATTTGAAATTCACTTTTAATAATTCTTTAGTGAATAACCCTGATATGAAGGGACACTAAAAATGTAAAGGCCTGAGAATGAAATGAGGTGAGATATGGGAAATTCATGATTATATTTAGCGTTGGGAAATGTAATAATGTTGGGGGATGGATATTTCTATATTATTGCCTTGAAAAGTTGTTGGTTTGCACTTCTTTTTGCTTAGGATTCCTATTATCAGACTATTTTTTTTTTTTTTATTTTTTTTTTACGTCTCATCTAAAAACATGTTAATAAAAAAAACTTCAAGTTAATTAATACATTGTACTCACAAAATTACCAGAAAATAAAGGGGAGTTGGAATGGTTTGGATGCGGTCCATTGCTGTAGGCTTCTGCAAGTGTGTGCTTGTACGTTGCCAGAATGGAGATTGCTTAATCCAGCAATGGCTAGTGAGGGAGTGTGCACACTGGCCACAGTGATAGAGATACAAGCGTTATCAATTTTACATTCTATACAAGTTAATCTTTGCATTTGCTAGCAATGTATCTAGACTGTAAAGATAGGTTAAAACACACTACCACTGCAGTTTTTAACCCCTTAAGGACACATGACAAGTGTGACATGTCATGATTCCCTTTTATTCCAGAAGTTCGGTCCTTAAGGGGTTAAACATGTTGTAAATGATGTACACGCTTCTGTATTGCAGAGTATTCCAGGTGTTGGAAACAAATATTACCTCTCATTTGTCGTGGCAGATTTCTTAAATGAGGTAAGTGTTTTATCACTATTGTATGTTACACTTAGGATGGTTGACCTTAAGTAGTAAGCATTTTATTGTGTCTTCTATATAACTATGTGTTTAATTGCACATTCTTATGGACTTTACCAAAGGATGCAAGGCAATCCTGAAGCAGACCCCTTTGCTCACTGTGTCTTAGCCAGGGGTAGGCAACATTGCACACTACAGATGGATGTGGACTACACTTCCCATAATACCTTTGCAGCCATAATGCTAGCAAAGCATCAGGGGAGATGTAGTGCACAATATCTGGAGTGCTGAAGGTTACCTATCCCTGGTCTAGGTCTTGCTAGTAAGCTGCAGTTACTGACAAGACCTACGAGAAAACTACCGTATATAAGATTGTTGTCTCTTACACGGAGGATATGCGCATAGCATTTCATATAAGGACTGCCCGTGTAGGTGGAATCAGTTTGGAATGCTCAATATAATGCCATATGTCATAGCTGTTTATCTCTTCTAATTGTTCAATCACTTGCTAGTGCTACATTTTGTATTTAGATATGCGACCGTTGTATTAAGGTTATTCTTGGCCAAACCAAGCTATTAATTCCCCAGGACTTTGAGCACAATCAGAAAGACTATCGCCTGCCATCTCCCTGCAGCTATCACAGTGAAAAAAACAGTGTTAGCAATGGATAGACTGCAGGGACAGTCTCTTTGCACGAGAACTACTGCATTAAAGCTGTAGTGGTCCTGGTGCTTAGAGTGCACTTGATGTGGAGCTATAACTCACATGCCAGTGGGCAAAAATATGTTGCAGACTTCTTTGGATCAAAAGCAGAAAACAGATGTATTCAAGTAAGTTACTTTGCCAATATAAGGATTGAATAATTTTCTTACTTTGGAGAGATATCATTAAAGCTCAGATATCTGGTCGTTAGACCAATGTAGGAAGATAAAAAATATCCTATCATCCCATTCAATAAAAAAAACCTTAAAAAACGTGTTTTAAGGTAGTAATAAAGTAACGTTCTTGTGGACATTGAAAAGATAGTACATCTATATGTATGATCTATAACAATTTCCACAGCAAATAGTTTTAGTTGTGTGATCTGTCTGTGAAGTAGGAATGTACATTCTAATACAGATTTCAAGCATTATTTCTCCTGTCACTCAATGTCACCTTAGCAACCGGATATAAAATGCACTGCGGAGGTTCTGTACTATCTGCGTGAGCAGAACAAAGCTCCCAACGTGTCCTTCACATTAGAAAGAGAGATTGGAAACTATGTGCAAGACAAGGATATTGCATTTTACAAAAAAATGAAGAACATTTCTCAACCGCTGGATGCACAAGATATTCCAGGTAATTAACAAGAATAGCTGGGTGTAACTTGCATTGTCAAACAATGTCCCAACACTCCTCCTCATTCTGAGTATTTTTATGTTCTGAATATTTCATCCTAGATAAATTTGGCAATGTGTCGCCGGAGATGGAGCCTGTCCTGCACTTGGCATTGGTTGCTTGTGGTCACGTGAAATGGCAACACTCCACAGAAGACACCTACTACAGGATGTCCATAATTAAAAGCGTGAAACAGCTGGTATGTCCAAAGTGCCCTATGGTGCTAAACTCTGCTAGGATAGGATTATTATCATTAGAATGTTTTCAAAGGAGCAAGGTAATTTAAACACACCTAATGTAACAAAAAATAAAGCCATACTCCAATTTGTCTCCACAATATAGCCCAGAAAGTGTTAGGTTTCTACAGTAAAAGATTTTCCACATTTACTACGAGTTACGTGGACAAATACAGACTGCAATTTCTAAACTATGACGGACTTTTTACAAAATTAATATCTGACTTAGAACTTGCAACACCAACATGCTACCTCTCAGGAAATACGATAATTGAGAAATCAACGTGTCTGTATTTTGCTGTTTATATTAAAATTATTAAAGAGACAGCAAGCACATTTAAAAAGACTGCTGTCTGATAACACTACCATTGACTAAAAGAGCTAAGCCTGTATTTATTTTTTGTGAATTCCTTCCCTAAGAGTAAGGGGCTTACTGCAAAAAAAAAAACCCATGAGATACAGCGGGCTAACAAGTGTAATTGTAAGTCAAAATAGTGAAACTGAAGGTTTAGTTACAAATTTTTACCTAAATCTCGCAAGTCTCCATTCAAATCACCACACTGTATTAAATGATGGAAAATGTGAAAAGGATAGAAAAAGTTTACTGTATTCTTCTGGATCTTGTTTCTTCTGTTTATTTCCATGCAGTTGTATCAAAACTGTCAATGTACACATGCCATGGACACTATGAATTTATAAAGTAAAGATCAAAGATGTTTTTCACCTATGTGGGTCTTTGTCAAGCCTAGGTTGTACAGCTTAAATACCCATCAGATTACAAGTAACACTCTATGGGGGGAGCATACGTTGAACTGAAAAAACATAACCCTTGCCATACCAAATAAAATAAAAAAACACAAGAAAAATAACAGCATATACAAAAGAAATATGTTGGCATATTCATTTTGTATATTTAAGCTGTACATTGTAGTTTGGAACCTAGGCTTGACAAAGACCCTGAGGTTAGGTTTGGTCAAAACGTTGCCAGCTTCGGTGGAATAAATCTCTTTGATATTTACTTTTGGTGTTGCGACTACTTTATTATTTTTCTACGGTGTATGAGGTAACTGGAAGGAGACCTTGGAGTTTTGCACACAAACTTTAATCAGTGGAGTGCTGGTCCTCCCAGTTGTTTTGTGCTATGAATTTGTGGACTGTCTCATTTGCAGTCTTGTGAATGGGGCTATTCATAACTTTTGTTTCAGCCACAGACTGAGCATGAATGCAGCCATGGCTCAGGCTTCCTCAGACACCAAGCTTCAGTAATTTGCTTGTTTTAATGGTTAAAAAAAAATAAAAAATAAAACTATATTTTGTATAGGTTTTAACATTATTGTTTGTATTATTTAGAAAAGAGAAGACAACAATCTGGAATTTCACTATATAATGCAAATCCATGAAATGGTTACACAGGTAAATATAAATGTGATCTTTGTTTGATGATCTGTGCCATAAGGTCATTTAAAAAAAGCTAAAGGGCTTTGGCAGCCCTTGAATGATAGTAATACTTAATACACAACAAAGGATGTTTCAAATCTATAAACCTACCTGTATGATAGTTCACGTTAACTTACACATTCTGATGGGGAATTTAAGCTGGCTTCACGATGGCCACCAATAGATATGAGTGGATGAATCCCCATGCTACACTACTTACATGTACAGCATCCCACAATGCACACCATTTAGGCACAAGCAGATACAGCGATTCATGTTCTTTTATATAAATTTTACAGGTATTACAGCCTATCCATTTGCAAGCAGTTTAATTACCATAATGTACAATTCCCCCCCCCTCTTCTCAGTGCATTTCATATGGTTTATCATATTACATAGTGGTTTTATTGCTTGTAGTCAATATAACAGATACATAAACTTCCCACCTACACTGATAAGCCACAACATTAAAAGCACCTGTCAAATATCGTGTAGGTCCCTCTCGTGCTGCCAAAACAGTTTTGATGCCTCGAGGTATGGACTCCACAAGACCTCTGAATGTGTCCTGTGGACCTGGAACCAAGATATTAGCAGCAGATCCTTTAAGGGTGGGGCCTCCATGAATAAAATTTGCTGTTTCAGCACATCCCACAGATGCTCAATCTGATTGAGATTTGGGATATTTGAAGGTCAAGGCAACACCTTGAAATCTTGATCATGTTCCTCAAACAATTCCTGAACATTTTTTGCACTGTGGCAGGGTACATTATCCTGCTGAAAGAGGTCACTGTCTTTAGAGAACACAAAGCCATGAAGGGTTATACATGGTCTGCAACAATCTCTAGGTAGCTGGTATGTGTCAAAATAACACCCACGTGAACGCCAGGACCCAAGGTTTCCCAGCAGAACGTAGCCCAGAGCATAACACTGCCTCTGCCAGCAACCGGATATAAAATGCCTTCTTCACATAGTGCATTCTGCTGCCATGTGTTTCCCAGGTAAACTATGCACATACACCTAATCCAAAAGAAAACATGATTCATCAGACCCGGCAACCTTCTTCTACTGCCCCAATGCTCCAGTTCGGACACTCACATCCCCTTTGAAGGTGCATTGGCACTCTGACTGGTCTGCGGTTACGCAGTCCCATACACAGCAAACTGCAATGCACTGTGTTTTCTGACATAGTGCATCGCAGTTTGCCAGCATTCAGTGTTTTAGCAATTTGAGCTACACTAGCTTGTCTGTGTGATCAGACATGCTAGCCTTTGCTGCCCACATGCAACATTGAGCCTTCGGGTGTTCATTACCCTGACGCTGCTTCACCTGTAGTCCTTCCTTGCACCAATTTTGGTAGGTTCTAACCACTGCAAACAGACTTGCCGTACTGGAGATGCCCTGACCCAGTCATCTAGTCAACACTATTTGGCTCTTGTCAAAGTCACTCAGATCTTTTCACTTTCCCATTTTTCCTCCTTTCAACACATGAAATTCAAGAACTGAGTGTTAATTTGCTGCCTGATATATCCCACCCCTGGACAGCTGCTATTGTAACAATATAATCAATGTAATTCACTTCACCTGTCAATGAATTTAATGTTCTGGCTGATCAGTGTATCTTGACTGCTGCAGATGGGTTTCTCTGACTGTACTGAAATGAATGCTTAGTTTTCAGAGAAGCCACAGAGACATAATTTTGTCATGTAACAAATACATTTTCTCCATATTACAGGAAATTATTACCTGGGAAATAAATATTTTATGGGACCCCACGCAAGGATTAAAAATAGAAAAAGAAGTTATCCTGCCAAAATCAAACCAGTGACATGTTTCAGAATGGAGTCAATGAAAAAGAACAGCAAGCATTCCAGAATGAAGAGTTACTTACTGTACTGGTTTGGCGATTGTCTCTCTAAACGCAACTTTAGGTTTTCCCATGACACAGGGACATCCGTATTCCCTCTCCATCCTCTGAAAGAAAGTTAAAAAAATTTATTAAACTGGATACTGTTTAAATAAATATCACTGAAATAAGACACTGCCATCAGTGTTTATTTAGGTCTCAAATTACCGCACCATTCACAAACTGATGATTTCTAATATTGTTTCAAGAAATGGACTTTGGACTCCCGATGTACAAAATCAAAGCATTGGCCTATCTTCTATATTTATACATCATTTAAAAGAAAACCTCATAATTCAAGGTACACTGTATGTGCAAAGTACAGAGTCAAATATATGAATAAAAAAATGAAAGTGATCAGCTGCCATCTGAATATGTCCCATAATCATGTATGATTAACCACATGTGATATGACACACTTAAATCAGATTTTTCACTACAGAGATTTTAGCACAAAATACTATTTGTTGTGCTTTTATTCTCTTACAAAAAAAATACAATCACAATGCTGGGCCGGCTAAAATAAAGCCTGATATCTCCTCCTTTGTTGCATGTGTGTACACGCAATTCCATAGCATTTCTATGCAGATTCCTTACTCCCCACCAGAAGAAAAAAAGAGAATCTTAGTGTTTCCAAATTACTGCTAAGACTTTTTTTTCTCCACATAAAAACTGGTGTGGCGCTGTCCCAAGTGCCCCTGTGGAGAAGCCTCCACCGACCCCAACCATACAATCATAAGGTGTTTCTCTTGTCTTAATTCAACCATAAAGCGTTTACAAGTTTTTCACTTCTTCCATTCCTTACCTGAGCATAGATCTCCAGATGTAACTCTCCCATCCCAGAAACTATGGTTTCTTTACTTTCCACCTCATAATGCACTCTGAATGTTGGGTCCTCTCTTGTGAACCGGCTGATGCCTTTTGAGAATTTGTCCATGTCATTCTAAAAGTAGTAAAGATGAGGTGAGGGGGATACAATGCTTTTCAGGCAAATCATTAGGTTCAATTGTTAGGTGCACCAGAATTCCAAATGTTAGGCAAACCAATTGCGAGAACATGGATATTACTTGCCTTGTTGGATGGTTTCATAGCTACTGAAATGACTGGATCAGGAACATGAATGGATTCCTGGAATAAAAAAATTTTAAAAAAAGTACAGTTATTCACCACAGTGATAATTCAACGTGAATTTCATATTTAAGGATAAAATAGCCAAATTAGAAACTTTCTCTAAGTCAGATGTGCTTTCAGTTTGGTTTCCCTGTCAAAATTCTCCTTGAATTCTCACTTTAGTAAATAACACTGTTAGTTTTACATTTGCAGACTTTATTGGATTTGTTCTTCAACATGCTTTTTGTATGTCCCAAGCATTTTGGTTAACCTTTACAACTTCCAATGAAAAATGCTCTTCCAGGTATCTACTACTTGGAGTATTTTGCACAGCCTTCAGGTTTATACCATTTAATTATCAAACACTGTAATCAATGCAGTTAAACCAAGATGTTCAGCTGAATGTAGGCTTTGGCAAAACTGTTACTACTCCGCACGATAACATGAGCAAATGTCATTATGTAACATAGAATCTTAATTGTTTCATTTATATTCTATTCAGGGAGACAACAAGCATTCTGACACTATTGTTTGTAGTAATGCAATTAAAGAGAGATTATAGGCTGCCAGACCACTTCATCTGCATGTCATGTCAGTGTCTGTTTAAACCTGCAACTGAAATTTTTTTTACATTGGAGAATTACCATACCTCTAGTGGCGGTCTTTCTGATAGAGACAATTTAAAGGGATTCTCTAGTACCAGGAAAACAAACCAGTTTTCCTGGCACTGTAGAATGCTAGAGTGCCCTTCTACCTTCCGCCCCCATCCCACACCCTGAAGATTTCACCCCACCCCATAGAGAGGCATATGCAATAGCCTCTCTATGGGGAAACACTGGATTGGCTGAGATCATCGACACTGATGATCTCAGCCAAAGAGGTGGAGTGCAGTTTTCGAGTCCAGCGCAGGCTCTAAAGTAGGTAATACTCACCTAAAAGGTGTACAAACAGGTTTGTATTCCTAATGCTATAATGTTCCTTTAAAAATTATAACAGCTAGAACACAAACAACAGCATGTTCAGGTTGCTGATCATACAAGGAGCAGTGATTCAGCTGTTTCTCCTGCCTAGCATTTTCACTATACCAACAATCAACTGTGTTATGCATTCTTCCTAAAACATGTTTTTTTCTAAAATACCAAAATAAATGTAATGTTTAATTATGAAATGCACTGGGAGATTAGTGCAAAAAATGTACTAACTTCACTTGTTTGTCCTCTTTAAAATGATCCTGTCATACTGGATTCAATTGTAATATCTCCTAAGGCTGTATATAAATTATTTATCAAAAAGATGCATGCTATATTTGCACTAAAATGTCCTTCTATCATCTAATTCCTGCCATTCTCTGTTACAACTGACCCTTTTTGGGGATACTTCCCCAATCACAAAAATCCTCAAAGTGATGTTAACTTCACTGCCAACAAATTAGAGTGTCCTATACTCCCCCTGGATGGGTAGCAAGGAGCATGATAACAGTCTGTAGTATGGTTTCCTGATCTCTCTGTCATTCAATACACAGTTTAGACATTGCATGTATTGATGCCACTAGCATACAGAGGTCTATGTGAAGGATTGATGGATTTGTGGGGAAAAGTCACATTTAAAAAAATATAAAATCGTTACAATTTATGCATTTAGAAGTTTGAAAAACACACATGTATAACTGTATTAAATGGAATAATGAGGGTCTCAGGGAGTTCACAATTGCACTTGCTTTCCCACAGATAAATAAAAAAAAATGTACAATTCCCTTTTCACTAAAGTGTGATTGTATTGACATGCTCTCCTTTTCCGTACAGTTTTTGTATGTATTAGCCACTTTCTCACCATGGAAATGTTGTCATTGGACTTGCTTGCAAAGGTGTCTCCACTAGCACAGTCAATTCCAAACAATGCACAGATGTCACCTGCGTAAACTTCATCCACATCCTATGAATAGTTAAGAAAACACCCACATTGAAAAGAAAAAAACTAAGTACTGTAATGGACAATCAATTTCAAGTCAATACAAATCCGTGGCCTGATTATGTAAAACTAATCTATATTCATGCACTGTTAAACAACCTTTTGGAAAGACTCAAATAATTAAATATGTTTCAATTAACTTTTTGCAATATACATATTCAGATTTCTCTTTCTACTACGGAAGATATGTGCTGCAACAAAAGCAGCAGGAAACAAAGGAACCACTGACAAGCCATCAGAATAATTGAACAAAGAATCCATTCTATAGTGCCAAAAAAGCTAAACAAAACAATTTTAAGAGACTTGCTACTCATATGTTACCTATGGAGAGCAACACATTATACTGAAGCTTAAAGTAGCAGTCTATGTTAGACAAGCACTAAATATTATGGTGCTCGTAGAATGTGTGTGCCCACCTCATTTGAGTGGTTAGAATGCTATCCTTGGCATTAGCAAACTACCTCTCGGACTGTTGGATCTGCCACCAATTTTAATTAGTGTAACAGGATCCAGCATTCCTGTGTGTCTAATTAAGCACTAGATCTACTTCCAAGAACATATGGAAAACATTGTAATAGCAAAAATGATGCGCATGTATTGATGTAAGAACTTCTAATATAATGACATGTCTACACTTTTAGAAGCAATCCCGCTAATTTCTTGCTTTGGTTGTATGGTATTAAAGGCTAAGCGACCTCTTCAGAAGCTACCTCGTCTTTTAGTAGGGGTGCCTTGTTCGTCTGTTTCATCACATAATTTTAATCAATTTAGAACTGGGTCCTCTAATGTTTTGTTGCCACACTTGAATTTGTTATGATGCAGAATGCTCCAATTTAGGACAGATCCTAGCTAGGTAACTGCTGGTTTGGACAGTCTAATAGGGGCTCTGGACACTTACTGAAACATTATTGGTGTCGGCACCTAACTCTCTGCTTATCTATTGCTAAATTACCGACATCAAGTTCATTCATGTCTCTGTACATACTTTATTTCTCTTTCTTTTTCCTTTATTATGTTTATGGGGGGAGATTGATAAGACCAGGCATTTTAGTAAGGGGTGCCCTCGAAGGCACAAGACTCAGGACTCTTTATTCTATATGCCTTTATTCTATATGCCTTCCTCTGTCACTGTCTGTATATTTTCTACTACCTAGGCAACCTGTTCAAAAAACTGTTCATCAATTCACATTTCAAGCGATCTTATTACAATATATAGAGATTCAGTATTTTGTGTATCTCTCTACTGTAAGTGAAGCACTGCTTTTGCACTACTTAGTCTGCTATTAGACAATTTTAAGCCTAACACACTACTATTTTTTATATAACTGTGTGTATAACTACATTAAACAGATTACTATTTTTATGTTATTCTGTAATAAATAGTGGCTTTTTAATAAGCAGATCAGTTGGTGTGTAACACGCAGAATCTGCCTTTAGCATATTTAAAGGTATACACACCATACATCTTATTTGAATTATCGATTGTTCCAGATTTTTATACAACTATCACATTTAATCTTACCGAATAAGCCATTTTTAAGTGAATTAGCTCCTGAACACACTGCCTTAAAGGTATCACTGTTCTTTATCTGTTCAAAAAACTGTTTGTAAAATCTCTTTTTATACTTTGACCTATTATTTAGATGCAGCTAGCACTTAGGCAACTTGCGTGACTTTTAACCGGTATATTTTCTACTACCTAGGCAACCTGTTTAAAAACTGTTTGTAAACTTTTCTTTATACTTTGACCTATTATTTAGATGCAGCTAGCATTTAGGCAACTTGTGTGATTTTTAACCGGTTAACTGCTGCCTGTCAGCAGTCCTTAACAGGTGAGCTACTACTTGGTGCTCCACTGTGGTCAAGCATAAGTTAACATAATTCAGTGCAGGCAGCTGCTGTTACACTAGAATATACTGCTAGGTATCTTGCAGAAAAAACAGAGCCAGGTCAGCAACCCCTTATTTTATACTTTACTGCTTGACAGCAACCTTTAATTTATTATCCTAAAATGCTGCTATGATCTAGGCAGCTTTTGTGATATTTAACTGGCTAATCGCCGTCTGTCAGAATTATGTCTTAGCTAAACCATTATCTTTGATCTTTCTGAGGTTAAGCACCATAGAACATTATCAATTATTGTATGTGGAGTTAACCCATGTCGTTAGTTGTACTATCATGTAGGGATTTACTTATCCATATCTTTTAACTATTGACAGCACTGGTTTAGCAGTTGTCTTATCTCCCCCCCTCTTGTTACAGCTATTAGTGATATATAATATAGTAACACTTCTATTACTTGGGAATACACTGTTATATTGTAGCTAAACAGTATTGCTTTAGCATTAGTGTTATTATGTATACACTTTTACAGCTTGTATAAGTAGTCCCAGAGTTTTACTCGCTGTATAGTCTCCATTTACTCCTGCTGTTCATATTATATATTTTTATTTTAGATTTATTTATTAAAAGTTACTTTTTAACCTACAATCTTCTCAGTAAATCATACACAGGTAGAATGGCATTTTTTTCTTTTTTTCTTTATTCTCTATGATATTCACCATTTAGGGGTTACCCCCCTTTTTTTTTGTGCCCTCTACCTTGTGATATCTAAATTTTGGCCCTAGGTTAATTCTTTTTGTTTTCCTTGTAGAATAGTCTAATAAGGTTGTATCTACAATTGCAGCTCAAACTGTGATATCTTGAATATCAAAGTAGTTGCTTGGAGAATGTTTGTTTCCATTACCAAATTTGCATTTAAATGTGAGATTAAATCATGAATGCTGTACCTCCATCAAATCTGCATGTAGACGCACCAGTCGCTGTACCCTCACTTTCTTGCCTGTCCTTGTATTGAATATGTATTCACCTTTTTTCAGCATTCCCTGGTACACTCTGACATAGGTGAGTTGACCAAAACGACCAGCCTGCAATACACCACAAGGTAAATTCAGCAAACACTGGTAAGGTAGCATTTTGAGTTCACCAGAATATAATTAAAATTTTCTACTTCTAACCCTGGTATAGAATGGAGATCTTCAGCTTTGCAAATAAAGGTTTCAGCACATTCTGGTTGTGCACAACTGTAGACTTTACAAAACCTCTACTTTTCAAAGAATAAAAGTGGCTTAGGAGTAATATTAAAAATAAATATTTGTGAAAAGAGATTGTAGTCTTAACACCAATCTCTATAATGCATTATAGACAAGTTCATTAAAATTATGCATAGAAGTCGACCTTTGACTAAACCTCGTGACAGATTTTTGGATTTTTTTCTAGTTATGTCCACTGAAACCAGAAAAAGTACCACAGTGCTTTCCTACTAGCTTTACGACACATTTAACTACGTATATGAATTAGTGGACATGGTTTTGCAATATTTCTTTCGATGTAATGGATTAAAAACAGAGCCACGTAGGCACTGAGCTCACCTTCCCTTTAACTCCCCATTAAACATGCAAGAACCACTGCAGATATTTAGTGCAATAGGCAAAAAGACAGATACCTAAAACTTACCTCCAGTTTAAAAGCCAGGCCAACGAAAGGCTGAGTGTCATCTCGGAGAGAACTCATTAAGATCTTAGATTTCTCTTCTGTGTTCCTAAAACAAGAAAATAAAGCTATATAGAGCAGGTGCATGGAAAATATAAACATTCCATATATTAGAGTGACCTTTCAATGAAACCCATGGTTTTTTGCGCTCCATCATACATGCAGTTCAGTGCCAAAACACAGAAAGGGTTATTCATGAAAGTGGGCTTTGCAGAGAATTATAAGTGAATATGCTTTGTGTTTGATTTTTTGTTTGTTCGTCTAATCTTTGAAATTCTTTTTGGATTCTCCACAATTCTCCCTTTAGTGGGAGCTGTTTCTATTGGAAGCTCATATCACTGCTCTGTTAATTGCCTGATAGTGCAAAGCAAGCTCCTGTGTGAAGAAATAAGAATTCTAACTCTGAGAAGCACATTTTTGGGGCTTCTTCCAGTACAATATGTATATATTTTTTTTCAATATCTTAATTTTTATTAATAGTTTCATATAAGTCAAAGTAAAGGGCGTACAGAAAATAAAAAGGGGAGGGGGATAAACACATTTCGTAGAGCTATATCAGGCATTTTGACATTGCAGGTCATACATTCAGTACAATTGTGCATTGGATATAAAACATGGGTTGGGTGTATATTGTGAGTTAGACATATGCTATGAGGTGCACTAGGATTGTTGAACAACAACAAATGATGATTTATATTAGCATGTAGTAGCCTGTTACAACAAGGTATTCCTCATTGGCCAATTGAGTGATCGGTTGTCAGATTTCCAATGCTATGCAAGTAAAACCCTATGTTGTGTCTGGGTCGGTCACCTTTTCGTGTTTAATCGATGAGGCCTACTGCTCCAACCATTGCACCTTGGAATCATCTGTCCTCCTTGTTTCCCTACCTGCCTTTGTAGCTCTCATAAGCTCTAGAGGGTTGGTGGTGGTTTGGGGGTTGGGGAAGGCATGGGGAGGTAGATGCCTTTTTTTTGGCAGAACGCTTCGCTATGGTATAGGTCCTTTATGGTCCCTGTTGGGTAGATAAATAGATCGTGTACTATCATTTGAATTGGTCTCTAATCTGAACCCCTTTTTGCCAGCGCCAAGCGTATTTGTGTTCCTCGCTCCGGAGACGGCTGGCCATTTGCTCATATTTGCTTGTTATGTCAAGTCGTGTTAGAACCTCTGTTATGGTTGGGCTTTCTGGTTGTTTCCACCTGTGTGCTATTGCGGTTTTTGCTGCTAGGAGACAGTGAGTAAGTATGTGTAGCTTGTCCTCCCTGGATGAATTAGGGAACATGTGGAATAGATCGCATGCTGGAGTTTTCGGTACCCTAACCTGTACTGCCGTTATGAGAAACTGTTCTGTGTCCCAAAATTTTGTAATGTTCGGGCATGTCCAGAATACATGGAGTAGCGTGCCTTCTTGGCCTTGGCATTTCCAGCACATGGAAGTTGTGCCTGGGTATATATGTGCTAGTCGCGTAGGTACCAAGTACCACCTCATATTTAATTTACAGAACGCTTCTCTACGGGCCAAACTGTATGTGGCTTTTTTGACCCTTTCCAATGCCAGCCGCCAAGTGTTTTGTTGGACTCTTATATTTAGATCCCTACCAGAGGCTCATATGTGAGGGTAGTTCCTCATCTTCTAGGTGCATGAGGGAAGTGTAGCAGAAAGACAGGGCTTTGATACTCTTTAGTTTCCCTTGGCAACAATATGTATATTAATATAATCTGCAAAAGATGCCATATTGAATTATTCAATATATTTTTTGTAGGTTTTTACCAATACCTATTTTCATATAATTTTTATAGCTCCTAAATGTGCTCATTATGGCATTTGATTGGATGCTGCCCACATTAACAAGTGCTGGGCAAGAAAGGGGGCAGATCAGCTTTGCTGCAGAAGTAATAAATACACACTTTTGATTTTAACTGCCTTTTGCAAGTATCATACAAATATTCTTAAAACCCAGACGTTCCTCTTTCATTTGAGTTTTTATTTAAATTGTAAAGAACCATTTTATAATCAACTAAAGGTGCATAGGTTGTATAAATACAACATGAAATTTAATGAGTAACACTGAACCTATACATTTCCCTACACACAGTTTGCTACAAACAGTATGGATGTGATTTTATGTTTAATGTGAAATTTACAGCTATTAATTTTGGAAGCATGTGCATAGGAGACACCTGGAGGAAAAAGTCAAGTAAACAGTTACGTTTTATCTGTACTTGAGCTGACAGTTTCAGGGGTACAACAAATTACATTTTATTAGTTGCCTAAAACGGGCCTGTTCATCTAACGTTATGACACTTTAACAAGGCTGTTTTTAAAGAGGAATGTGAAATATATATGGTGATTGGTCTCCATCTGGTGGTCATATCTAAAATTAAATCACTGCTTCTAATGGAGCCTGTCACATAACACTATCAGTTTATAGGATGTCAGCAAATTATTAGGGCTCATTTCCTAACTCCCACAATGCTGAGTAAACATAAGAGTTGTAGTACAGCACAGCTGGAAGGGATGGGTAAGTTGCATAGCTGATATCTATGCGTTGGTATAGATTTGCAAGCAAAATAAAAAAAATGTAAACTAAGCACTAAGTCAGTAAATGACTTAGTAATTTACCTCACTTTGATAACCGGGTCCACAAATGTACACTTTGCACTTATAGTGCTAGGAATGTAAATATTTAGGCCCCTGGCCTCTACCTGCATGTAGTAAAAATAAAAGGTATTTTACTTATTTGCCTCCTTGGCTGGAATGATAGAGATTACGCCATAGGAAAGCATTGGGAGGCTAGAGCGCATTGGGTGGCTGTGCTGCACCAATCAGATGGTCTGGATGAGACCATCTGTTTGAAATAGAGTTTTACTCTGCTATTTCAGTGGAAGTGCCTAAAGTAGCTGTCTGAGTGACAGCCACAAATGGCATTTAAATCTTGCAATAAAACCATTGCCATTTTGCAGAATGGCAATGTTTTCACCTGCATGGTTAAAACGGGATAGGGACAAACATGGCAGCCAGACCATTTAATTGAGATAAAGTGGTCTGGGTGCCTATAGTGTCCATTTAAGTTCTCTGATGGCCAATATCAGCAGGTCAGATGTTCCTGAATTAATTCTATTTCTCTTGCAGCTCAATAACAGTGTCAGCCTGGCAATGTCTCATGGTAAGCATAGTTTACCAATATCTAGGTTGCCTACGCTAGCTATCACTGCCCTAGTTGTATGTTTATGCATCGCACTCGCAGTGTAACCAACATATGAGAGAGAATCCTTATGCTAAATGAATCCAGATGCTTACTCTTGATTGAGAATAGCAAAGTTTTGTACTTCAGATGGGTTTGGCAGATAGTCTAGGACAGCATCTAGAAGTGGCTGTACACCCTTATTCTTCAATGCACTTCCCACTAAGACAGGTGTAAACAATCTCTTCAGTGTAGCTCGCCGTATAGCTTGCTGTAGAAAACACAGTCTACATTATATCACAATGGTTAATGGGGAAAGAGATTCAAAGAAAACATGAGACAAGCAACATGGTATTGATCTCTACAGAAGCTACATAAAGAACAACAATAAAGCCACACAACCAATGCATAATGTACCAAAATATATCAATATTTGTGTTTCTAAAATGCATTTTTGTAGCTGTAAAATACAAAACATACATAATGAATAGATCACTACAACAAATGTTTTGTAGATAAAACTATAAAAATCTAAAGTTTGAAAGATGTAATGTGAAGGGGCTAGAACTATGACAGATTTTAGGACTATTTCTGGAAAACACTGAAGGGTTTATTACCACCACATAGTGATGAAAACATCTCCCTCTTTGCATTGTTTGTGATTAATCAATCACTGGCCAAATGTATTTTAATGAACTCATCTATTAATTAATTCTATTATTAATTAATTAATCTAAGGCCCAAAGACTACATCAAATGTGAATGCCCTTGGGAGCAAGTCATCTATTGACCACTTTTATTTTGGTTTGCCTCTATTGTTTAGATCAACAATGTTCACTAAATTCTGTTGCCATTCACTATAAGTAGGCAACTTTTAGCGCTCCCGATGTTTTGGACTACATCTCCCATAATGCTCTTACAGCCATAATGCAGGCAAAGGATCATGGGAGGTGTAGTACACAACATCTGGAGTGCCAAAAGGTGTCTACACATTCAAATCTCAAAAAGGTATGAAATATAATAAAGGTTCACTGCTGCATTGCAAACAAAGAAAGACTAACTCACGTGTCTCACTACAGATCAGAGCAGTTGATCTTTATATGGATTATGCCCTTGTACCATAACTGGACACACACACACACAAAAAAATAAAAATCACCATTGCATTGTGGGACAAAAATATAATAATACTAAAGATGTGAACAGATCAAACCCTCCCAAGCTTTGCTCACCTTGATTTCCAAATTAGTAGGGATTTTCTCTTCCAAAAACATCTCACCTAGATGATCATCAGAATTAGCTACGCTTTCAATCAGCTCTTGACGTCTATCAGCTGCCTCTGCCCTAAAGTCGGCTGGGATATCGTCATATCTCACAGATTGTCTGAAAGTACAGGAGTTGCAATGAGACATGGAATGATGGAGCATGCATATTGCAGACAGGATCCGAAACTTTGACAAAACTTGTAAAGAAATCTTACCCGTATTCTCCATCAAAGAATATAGCTCGCTCCTCCACAAGGTCAATGATTCCTTTAAAATTACTCTCTATTCCAATAGGAATCTGGACAAAGGCTGCATTATGATTTAACTTGGATCTGGCACAAAAACAAAATGTAACATACATAGACATTAGAAAGCAAGTTAGTTTAGTAAAAAGTTGCATAATAAACTTAAAGGGACATGCATCACTTGACATAATATCTGTAAATCAGAAAATACTTTTAAATAAATATACAAACCAAAATAAAGCAAGAAAGACTTTGAAAAGTATGTAAAAACATTGATCAACTTACTATAAAATTAGACAGATTTGTTGGGCATGCCTCTCAACTAGGGGAAATTCTTCAGCACCCTCACCTTTACCCAGCCATCTGAGTTTCAAACCAGTCCATTAATGACACAAAGAGGGCATCAATGTGCAACAGCAGGAGATAGAAACCCAAAATCGGAGGCTGCACTGCATTAATCTCACTGATCAGACTCCCTGTTCTTCTCCCCCTGTCAGATGTTGCAAGTTAAAGAGATCTTCCAACTGTGTATACCTGCCAGGCATGCTCAATGCAGACTGGTTTGTTCGAAAAACAATGATGATTGATGGTCATTATATTAACCTATTGCTCATATATAAGATTTGTTCTTTATGTACAAGACATCCCTCTCCTGGCAACATACTAGATGCTATTGTCAACAAAGGAACAGAATGGATTACATATAGAACTAACCTTAAATGCTGTACTGCTTTGTTAGGGTTAGAGCCGGATCGGTCCAACTTGTTGATGAAGGTTAAGAATGGTACACCATATCTCTTCATTTGTCTGTTCACAGTCATTGTCTGGCACTGAACACCTCCAACTGCACAAAGGACAAGAACTGCCCCATCAAGGACCCTTAGTGCTCTCTCCACTTCAATTGTGAAGTCTACATGACCTGATGGTTAAAATAAAGATGACATCAGAAGACTACATTGCAAATACCACATCTGTACAGCGGCATCATTCAACAAATGGGTCCCTCTCTCCTTAACGGAAAGTGTGGATTCCTTTTCTAGAATACAAGATAAAAAATAAATGCAGAGTGTATCCAAGAATTTAAATCCTGCCATACTTTACCGTACCTGGTGTATCAATGATGTTGATGTTAGTGTCTTTCCACATTGTGAAAGTGGCAGCTGACTGGATTGTGATGCCTCTCTGACGCTCTAACTCCATTGAATCCATGACAGCGCCAACACCATCCTTACCTTTCACCTAAACCAAAATATAGAGAATCACTAACAGATTAGAAAATACATCTTAAACAGCTTGATACTCATAGGGTATAAGCTGCATGAGTATGTGTTGAATTTAAGAGAAAAGTAGTAAATCCCCAACCTGCAGTTTCACGGGATGAGTGTAACTGTTCAATAAACCAATAGTGTCCATAATGGACCATGTCTGTTATTGTTATATACACAGTTTTTGCAACCAGTGTCACTATTTTATGTCATTTGAGCTAACTCATAGTCCCCACCATACCTCATGCATCTGGGCTATTCTACCAGTGTAGTAAAGAATACGCTCTGTAAGGGTGGTTTTGCCAGAGTCGATGTGAGCAGAAATACCAATATTCCGTATCCTTTCATTTGGGACAATACCAGAGGAACAATGTCTGGAGAGATTCAACGTCTGCAGAACAAAACAAAGCAGAAAGAAATGTTTGACATGGGTTTAATTTTCAAAACAGAATTTACTTATATAAACTAAGAAATATATCTTAATTATATAGTAAAATTGTAAATGATTATCCCAAAATTTGGATTAAAAAAAACTGCCTGTGTCCTATATTCCAAATGTGTGTATATTATATTATATATATATATATATATATATATATATATATATATATATATATATATATATATATATATATATACACACACACATATATATATACACATATACATACACACATAAGATAAAGCGGTACCCAGGAGATTCTTGCACGGCTATTCGCTAAAGTGAGAATTCAAGGTGAACTCAAACTTAAGATCATAATAGCCAATTTTAAAAAACATTCTAAGTCAGCAGCACTTTCAGTTCAGCTACTTTTGACCTTAAAGCAACTTGCACGCTTTGATTTTATAACCCTCATTCCTCTACTCCTAACTGTCCATGATTCATGATAATGTTCTCACAGATCTCCTCTTTACCTACACCGGATCCTTTTTCACTTCCATCTTCAAACTAGTGGTAAGGCCACCGCCTTCTTCTGTCCCCAGTATGCAACAGGATCCTAATTCCATGCATGCTCTTTGTAAAGCAGCGCTCTGTATTAAAGGGATACCCCAGGCACCCAGACCCCACTATCCCACTACCCTTAACCCTGCAAGTGTAATTATTGTAGTTTTTATAAACTGCAATATTTACCTTGCAGGGTTAAGTCCCCCTCTAGTGGCTGTCTATCAGACAGCCACTAGATGGACTTCCGTGTTCTTAGAACACGAAAACTGTTTTTTAGCAACGCCGGACGTCCTCATGCTATGTGAGCACCTCCAGCGTCGCCAAAATCCCCATAGGAAAGCATTGAATAATGCTTTTGTATGGGGAGGTCTAATGCGCATGCTGTAGGTGGGGGAGGAGAGTAGGCGGAGCCTGACCAGCGCCAAGGGATATCGGCGCTCGACTCCGGTAAGTCACTGAAGGTGTTTTAACCTCTTCAGCAACTTGGGATGGGGGGTGAGAGGGGCACTACAGGGTCCTGCAGTGCCAGGAAAACTAATACGTTTTCCTGGCACTGGAAAATCCCTTTAAGTTAAGATGATCTTGTGAGCACACAGAAGGAGGACTTGGCATGAAGGTGGAGTATTTTGGAATATTTTACCATGACAAAAGTGGGGCTTGCCTTAAAGGGATACTATAGTGATAGGAATACAAAGTTGTAACACTATAGTGCTCTTTGCCACCCCTATCCCCTTGGAAGCTAAAAGCAGCCTCCTCCAACGTTATATGATTGCGTGATGGAAGGTGCAATGCACATGAGGAACTCCCTATAGGAAAGCATTGCTTCAATGCTTTCCTAAGGGGATTTCACAAACACCAGAAGTTCTCATGCAGAGTACCTAGAGTCCACTAGCATCCATGAAAAAAGTCTCTAGTGGCTGTCTTATTTACAGCCAATGGAGAAAGTCTTAGTCCTGGAAGGTAATTATTTTTGAATTGCAGGACAAAGTGGGACTGGGACACTGCACCATTATCTGGGTGACAATGTCTGGCATAGGAAAACACATAAAATAAAGTAGCCTCTACTTTGTCTTATGTTTTAAAATAAAAATTGATCAAAAATTTCCAGGTTGGGAAAGAGGAAAGATTTGAGTAAGATAAGTACCAGGTGACAGCGCCACTAAGTTTGAAATTTACCTTGAATTCCCATTTTTAGTATATAGCCATGTTAGTCTGCACCTCTCCTACAATCTTTCCAAGATGCCATAAGTGTAATAGCAAGTGAGAGTTTATTTGAACCTGATACCACACTGTGCCAGAGCAGATACGCCATTCATACAAATGGAATTAGAAAATAAACAGATTAAACTACTTTGGGTGAAAAAAAAAACAACAAAAAAACAGGGCCTCCACCTCACCCCCGACAACCAAAGGGGATCTCAAGGTGCTCCTCTCTGACCTGCATCAGATGATGGCTGCGGACCGAGCGCTTCTTCAAAAAGAAATACAGGCCAATACAGACCTCATCAAGGCTGCGGAGAATAACCTCCAAAGCACCAAAACTGCAGTGTCCAACTTTAACGGCGCAGTACAGCAGATAAACACCCAGCAGTGCAACCTTAGGGGCATCCCAGCCGGGATAACAGCGGAGGAGCTGCTCCATTATACCCGGAGGCTGCTAGCCACTATCCTACCACCCGCGGTGAACAAGGGACATACTGCATTCCAGGCTTAGGAACCACCTCCGCACCACAGGATTTTATAATTCGCTGCACCTCAACCAACGACAAGGCCTACATTATGGCGGTGAACCGAGGAAAGACGCCCATATGGTTTGAGGACTCACAGCTACACTTTTTCCAAGACCTCTCCAAGGCAACTCTTCAGTGGCGCAAATCACTGGGGGCAGTAACCACCCACCTTCGGTCCTCGGGGGTGCAATACCACTGGGGTCCAGCGGGCACCCTAGTGGCGAAACGCAATGGAGCTATACATACCCTCCGCACGCCTGATGACACTACAGCATTTCTGGAGGCGATAAGACTGCTATTACCTGCTACGGGAACTCCCGCCGATGGCCCTGACAAATCCTGGGATCTAGATAATAGAGCGTCTTTTGTCCCCAGAGGCCCTAATATGACTTGACTACCCAGAGCCCACACAAGACTCACATCGCCAAGTTGCCCCAAAGAACGTTGCTCTGCGCGGAAGTTCAAAGAAGACCCATTGTTATGCCTTCATCTCAGGTTTTAACCTGTTAAGCCTTAATTTTAAGTTTATATTATTTTTTACTTAGTGAGCCAGAAGTTTACCAGCAAAAAAAAAATCACAAACAGGAGCACTGACCGGCATAGGGCATGGATCATATATAGGAACACTTCCACACCAACACACCTTACTTGGTGGGATATCACCCCCCCCCCCCACCTCCTAGGTCAGGGGCATGATGCTCAAAGAGGGGCGGACAAGCCTGGCACCGAACCCACCTAAAGACCACAACTTTAGGACTCACTACGCCTCACCCTACAATCCATGGCCATAACATGGCACCTAGTTACTGTAAAGCACTAACGAGTACGCACGACATAACCTTAAGCTACGCTCATCATCAGTCTCCCACACTACGCTATTCAACGCAATACTCCACCTAGCCTAGAGAGACAAAAGCATGTAAAATTAAAACGTGCAGACCAGCTAGCGTGATCACTGTTATAAGTGTGACAAAACAATGTATAATATTCGCGTTTTATTCTGACAAGTGTTTCTGTCAACTACAAATGCACTCCAAAAATAATTAATAAATACATTTAAAAAAAAATCTTTATTACCCTCAAAGTGACAGTCTCATACTTACTCTTCCAGAGATTCAAGTAGAATTTTGCCCAGGTGCTGCATCAGCCACATGGAGCTACTAAGCTTTTATTTGTATTATTAAAGACTGTAAATGCTGCATGACACTCTTCTGGTATTTTATTATACTGACATTGTCAACACATCATTCAGCAGAACATTTTTTATGTATACTGATTTCGTAGAGTGCTGGCTTACTACAGCATATCTACCCCTATGGACAGGACTCTTACATGAAATTTGGACATAAATTTAACTGCAATGTCAAGCAGCTGTAAATATCACATTATAATGGGGTGAAAAGAAATGCTACATCATTCCGACTACATTACTGCAATCATACAAACCCAACGGTTTACACTGTATGGTACCCCATAACCTGGACCCAGTCATGTCTTAATGTCTGGTACCCCATAACCTGGACCTATGCAAGTCATGTCTTAATGTCTGGTACCCCATAACCTGGACCTATGCAAGTCATGTCTTAATGTCTGGTACCCCATAACCTGGACCCATGTCTTAATGTCTCAATGTCTGGTACCCCGTAACCTGGACCCATGGCAGTCATGTCTTAATGTCTGGTACCCCATAACCTGGACCTATAGCAGTCATGTCTTAATGTCTGGTACCCCATAACCTGGACCCATGTCTTAATGTCTGGTACCCCATAACCTGGACCCATGGCAGTCATGTATTAATGTCTGATGCCCCATAACCTGGACCTATAGCAGTCATGTCTTAATGTCTGGTACCCCATAACCTGGACCCATGTCTTAATGTCTCAATGTCTGGTACCCCATAACCTGGACCCATGGCAGTCATGTATTAATGTCTGGTGCCCCATAAACTGGACCCATGGCAGTCATGTCTCAATGTCTGGTAGCCCACACCCTGGACCCATGGCAGTCATGTCTCAATGTCTGGTGCCCCATAAACTGGACACATGGCAGTCATGTCTCAATGTCTGGTAGCCCACACCCTGGACCCATGGCAGTCATGTCTCAATGTCTGGTACCCCATAACCTGGACCCATGGCAGTCATGTCTTACTGTCTGGTACCCCATAACCTGGATCCATGGCAGTCATGTCTTACTGTCTGGTAGCCCATACCCTGGACCCATGGCAGTCATGTCTCAATGTCTGGTAGCCCATAACCTGGACCCATGGCAGTCATGTCTCAATGTCTGGTAGCCCATACCCTGGACCCATGGCAGTCATGTCTTAATGTCTGGTAGCCCATACCCTGGACCCATGGCAGTCATGTCTCAATGTCTGGTACCCCATACCCCAGACACAGGCGGTAATGACCCTTCATTAAGTTTGTTTTATCCCAGTCACTGGGTAGAAGTATACACTGGGTGCCTGCACCATATCCCTTCCTCACCTGCCTCCCCCGGCAGAGCCCGGTCTGGCGGAAGGGCCGGTGCCCCAGAATACAGGCCGCTTTCAGGAGCCGCATAGTGACCAGGATGCCTTTCAAAGTCACGCCGATCTCCCAGCGCTGCAGAGAAACACTTCCGGGTCACTGATGCCGGCTTCTGTCGGAAGCGGAATATGCCCGAATAGAATAGACCCTCTGCTCTCGGCAATTTCCGTGAGCCCGCCCCTTCCCAGCCGGGAGACCAATAAAGATAGGGAGCTCGGATTAGAAGGACAGTATGACTCTATCTCTACGCCTGATTGGTGTTTGAAAATAATAGGAGGCGGGGCTAGAGTAGTGGGCGGGTTCACGGAAACACTGATAGTGTTACCAGGATACAGAGTGAGAGCAGCTCAGCACATCCTGGGGTTTAACTCCAATAGGGACACTATAGGCAGCAAAACAACCTTTGCTTAAAGGGACACTCTAGGCAAAACCCCCAAACACTTAACCCCTTAAGGACCGCTGAAGGTTCACGGCCATCATCGGAAAAATTCCCTTGAGTACCGTCATACCGGTATTATTTACTTACCCGATCACTGCTGTTCCCCCGGCGGCGATCAGCGTTGCTCCCGGTGTGGGGAGACTGTCTGACAGTACCCCCTGGGCGAATTAGTACCCCACGGCCATGTGATTGCTTTAACAGAGCAGTCACATGGCCGCAATAGGCGTACGTGAATCTGCCTGCGGGGAGACTGCCTGAACTGACACACAGTCTCCCTGCATCTGTAAAAAACAAATAAAAAATATAATTATTTATGTGTGTGTATATGTATATAGTGTCTATATAGAGATGAAAATGTATTCATAATTAGCGTAATTTTTCTTTCCTGGTCATAGGCCATGGCAGCACAACAATGGGTTAGTTCCTCCCTATCCCTAATTAGACAGGAACAGAATTAAAATAGAGGTATAAATACCCCCTCCCACTACCACTCCCTCAGTCTTGTTAACAGCAATATCCCAGGGCGGGATCTTTGTGCTGCCATGGCTTATGACCAGGAAAGGAAAATTACAGTAAGTATGGATACATTTTCATCTTTCCTGGCCATATCCATGGCAGCACAACAATGGGTAATACCCCAGCAATAACCAAGGGAGGGAATAAAGAAAAACTCAGTAATTCAGAGATGCTAGTGTATTAGAAAACAACACGTGAAATTGTAGACCAATCAACTAAGATGAGTTGACTGCGAACAGAACAGTTTTGCCGAAGAGGTCTAACTGGCTGGCTTTTACGTCAATCTGGTAATGTTTTATAAACGTGTTCTGAGAGGACCAAGTGGCTGCTTTGCAGATGAGTTCTGGTGATACGTTAGCTGCTGCTGCCCAAGATGAGGAAAGGGACCTCGTAGAGTGAGCTTTGAGTCCTTCTGGAATTTTCACATTTGATACCTTGTAAGCCTGTATGATTGCGGCTACTATCCATCTACTGATGGCTCTTTTAGATGCTTGAAGCCCTCTTCTGGGACCGTTGGGGATGATGAACAGTCTTTGAGAGTTACGCCAAGCAGATGATTTTTGTAGATAGACAGACAGACATCTCACCAGATCTAACGGAGAAGGATTGGGTTCTGCTTCATTTTCAGGAACTTCCGAATGAAGAGCTGGGAGTACTATCTCCTCGTTGATGTGAAAAGTTGATACCACCTTAGGACGAAATTCAGGAACAGTCCTCAAAATAACTATGTCCTTCTGGAATACTGTAAAAGGCTCTTTGGCAACTCAGGCATGGAGCTCAGACACCCTTCTGCCTGAAGCTAAGGCCACCAACAGAACTGTCTTTATGGTGAGAAATTAAGGAGAGATGGATTCTAGAGGTTCAAAAGGAGGACCACTCAGAGCTTTTAATACCAGTGGTAGATCCCATGGTGGAGCAAAAGGCTTGATAGGAGGCTTTATCTTTAATACTGCTGCCATAAATCTGGTCACATCCGTGTTTAAGGCCCATCTTTGATCTGTAAGGGCTGAAAGAGCCGAAACATGTACTTTCAGGGTATTGTAACTTAACCCCTTGTTGAGACCTAGTTGCAGAAATTCCAGGATATCTTTAGTAGTGATCGTCTGAATGTTTTTTTGATAGACGTTGCCCAGGAGGAAAAGACATCCCAGATTCTGTAGTAAGTGGTGGACGTAGAGAGTTTCCTTGCTTGTAGCAGGGTCTCTATTACTGCATGAGAAAAACCTTTACCTCTTAATCCTTCCCTTTGAATTTCCATGCCATCAGATTGAGGGAGGCTGGGTCTGGGTGGAGAACAGGACCTTGATGTAGAAGCGAAGGAATCTTTGGAAGCTGCCAAGGGTCTGCATTGCAAAGGCTCAATAGAAGGGGAAACCATGGTCTGCGAGGCCAAAAGGGAGCTATGAGAATGATGGATACCGTCTCTTGTCTCAACCGTCTCAGAAGTGGAAAGATGAGTGGAGTAGGAGGGAATGCGTAACCTAGGTGGAATTGCCAAACGCTTGATAGAGCATCTCTTCCTATGGCCAGAGGATCGATGTTCTTTGAGCAGAAGTTTCTTACTTTCCCGTTTTGTTTGTTGCCATTAGGTCTATTTGTGGCATTCCCCATATTCGTGTAATTTTCTCTAATATTTTGTTTGACAGACTCCATTCTCCTGGGTCTAATTCCACTCTGCTCAGGAAATCTGCTATGGAATTCTGGATTCCAGGAAGATGTACTGCTGATATGCCTGCTAGATGTTTCTGCGTAAAGGCCATCAGAGGCTTCATAATTGACATCATCTTCTGACTCCTCGTTCCTCCTTGATGATTTATGTAGGCAACTACCGTGGCGTTGTCTGTTCTGATTTTGACCCACTTGAAGCATATAAGGGGGAAAAAAAAATTTCAGAGCTCTTAGTACTGCCATCAGCTCTAATAGGTTGGAGGGAGTCTCTGTTGCTGGAAAAAGCCATTTCCCTTGTATGAATTGGTCTAGCAGGTGAGCTCCCAATCCCCATTGGCTCGCGCCCGTGGTTACAACAGTCCATGTGATGTTCCCTAAGGGGAATCCTCTGAACAGGGACTTCTTTTGTAACCACCACATCAGTGATTGATGGACCTGAGGAGGAATCTTGATAGGCTGTCATGGATTTCCTGTTCTGAACTGGAGAATGAAGCTCTTCTGGAATTTTCTCTTCCTCCATCGGGCCCATCTTGTTAGCCCTATGGTGGAGGACATTGAGCCTTGAAGACTCATGCATTTCTCTGCTGAGGTCACATTGAATGCTAACATGTCTTTGACTTTCTTTATTAATTTTGTACTTCTTTCTGGAGACAGTTGCACTGTGCCTGCTATTGTGTTGAATATGGCTCCCAAATATTTCATCTTCTGAGCTGGTTGTAATTGACTCTTTTTCTCGTTTATCTTCCATCCATGGAGTATAGGAAACGCATACAGATTTGTCCATGGGTCTGAAGGGTATCTTTGTACTCTGCCAAAATAAGGATGTCGTCCAGGTAATGGTAGATGGCTACGCTCTTTTTTCTGAGTTCTGCAATGGAAAGAAACATACCCTTCTCTGCCATTTAGGCGTTAAACCACTTTTGTTTCTGTTTATGCAGCTCTAGACATACCTCCCCTGGCTGTGACTCAAACAGCCTGCATGAAAAAAGTGGCTTTGTTTTTAATCAGATGTTAACTTGCTTTAAAGTTTTTATCACCTGCTCTGTTAATTGAACTTTAATCACACACAGGAGTCTCCTCCAGGCCCTAGCTGGCTATTAACAGAGCAGGCGATAAGAAATTCCAAATGAAACAGACTATGCAATAAAGAAAGTGTAAACATTAGATCTAACTTTACAGCAAGTGTTCAAGAAGTCTGCGCAAGTCTCATGCAGGGAGGTGTGAATAGGGCTGCATAAACAAAGTGATTTAACTCCTAAATGGCAGAGAATTGAGCAGTAAAACTGCGAGGGTATGCTCTATACACCAAAACTGCTTCATTAAGCTCAAGTTGTTTTGGTGCCTATAGTCTCCATTTAAGCTAAAGAAAATAGAAGAATCAATGGTTTAATGATGGTGGTCAAGATACAATCAAAGGAAAACGTCATCAGCAAATTGTAAGTTACCACTTTTTAAACTAACACTATAAATTCAGGAACATAAACATGGAGAACGTCATGGAACACAGTGAGGGAGGGAATTCAAGATTTACTGATGTTTGTTCTGCTCACAGCTAAGGATGACTTTTTGTGGATAAACGTTGAAGCAAAAATATACATTTTGGGGAGTCTATTGCTGTAGACCAGGAGCACACATCTCCAGGCAACGAGTGCTGTACATGGGTTCCTTTGTTTCATTTATTTAAAAAAATATAGTAAATAATTTTGCTCCATAAACCGACTCTTTCTGCCAGTCCCTCTAACCTAAAGAATCTCCCTTTTTGTTCCATTAGTACATGGAGTCAGGCTGCGATCAGGCTGTACAGAAAAGGTTTCTGATAGGTGTAGTTCAGCTCTCCGGTTTCGATAAGAACTGAAGTACAGCTCCCAAAAACTCCCAGCAAAACACATATCACAAATGTATTTGTGGTTTTTGGATGCTCACTTCATAGTCTGGATTGGTTCTATTTAGATACTTACCAAACGCCTTGCAAAATTTTTATGTTTACTCGCCCTATGACTTTCTTGGTAACGTAAATGGTTACTCCAAACATCATAACTACTATATATGGTTGTCACAGGCCCAGCGGTCCTGGGGGGCCCAGCACACCAGGCCCCACATTGCCAATCTGTATCGCTGGAACTGCCGTTGGTGCACCTGCACTGGGCCTAGACGCTGATGAGTCCCATCAAGTTGCCCATGCATATGTCTTTAGGGCCCGGTCAGCACTGCTGCCCTTTAATAATGTCAGCTACAGTCGTGGTGCTGGGAGGAAGTGACAGCCGGTCACTTCCTCCCAGCTTACTCCGTGCGGGAGGGAGGAGACGGAGTGGAGGCTGTCAGCCCCAGCCACCCTCTGCAACCAAAAGGTAAGAAATAGGAGGGTGGATGAAAAATGAGCTGCATGTGTATGTCTGTATGTTTGTCATTATGCATGTGTGTGTGTTAGTATGTATGTATGTCAGTATGATACTATGTTGCCAGTATAAGTCT